TAACGTTTGAAGTTAAGATTTTCAGGCTCTCCCGAACGTGACAATGCTTAAATGCTTAAGGAGATTCATTATTTAATAAAGCAAGAAGCGGCGTGAAACCAAATCTATTTTCAAAGCGGCAGGTGCGAGCGGCTTATGTTAATCTTTTGATAAATTTTCGAGTGGTTGTTTTAAATAACCGGCAGGAATGATGGAATATATTCTCCAAACAATAACGTTTGTGAATTAATGATAACTCTCTGCCAAATCGGCTTACGTAAGGTGAAGATGAGTCTATTAATTATTGCTTATGTCGTAGTTGAAGTTTGTCTAGTTTGTAAAACGGAAATGTAAATGTAAATTACAAAATAAATTTCTCTGAAATGTGTATATGTTTGTGTCTCTTGCAAAAGAATTGTACACCAAAGGTTTCCAATTTTACCAAAGACATTTACCAATTATTTTGGATGTCTCCAACTTTTTGCCCATTTCGTTAATGACTCTCAATTCTGGAAAAATGTAATCAAAAAACAATAAAAACTAATACTTTGAAATAGGTTTGTTTAAAAAACAATTATTTTTTTTACTCCTAATTGAATGATAATTTCAAAATCAAAATTAACAAAATGCACTGTATGTATCAAGTATGAAAAATCTAAAGTAGCATGATGAATATGATAAAACACTTTTTTTTTTCATTTTACTACTTTAGGACTTGTCTATTTGGCCTTTTTTAAGAATAAAAATGAATTCATATCAATTATTGCTCATATAATGAGATGTAGAAATAAGGATGGAACACGAAATCTGCGTGCTACATCCTAAATGTAGCGGTTAGGTCGGCATGACATGCTGGCCATTCCATAATAAAATGCAGTTTGCGTAAAGGATCCTTACACTGCTATAAGCAGTGGTCCTGCTATAAGCAAATTTCAAAAATAAAATTCGATTTGTTCCCATGTTTTAAGAAGGAAATTTGATTTATTAACACCGGAAAATTAGCTTTCATGTAGCTATTTAATAGTATATTATTCAGCAAATGTGGTAAATGGCGGAGGGAGTACTTAATAAACGAGTGGCTTGAAAAGTTTACCAAATGAGTCGCATACTTTACTTTTTCTACGACCGTTAGTTTTTGGGTTCATTTTTGCAAAACAACACACTACATTCACTGGAATGACCGTCAGAAGTGACAAACCTGAAAATTCAAGCCATGAAAAATAAATTCTAAAACATCCGACGAAGTTTTTCGTTTTTTGTAATTATACTAATTTGAAACTAGAATTATGTCAAATATAACAGTTACATCATTATTTTCTACATGAATCAACTCATTTTGTTGTATTCGTCCTTAATTCATTAATAATCATACGCATAGTCATTAATACTAATAATTGACAAGCGACGTGAAAGCAATAAAAATTGCTTTCGGATTATTTCAGTGTAGATGTTTCGGAATTTTCCGGGACAAACATATTGCATCAAATATGTATGTTTTGTCCGGGCATTGAAAATTAGGTTAAGCTCGAGGGAAACTGTATTCCAATAAGTAGTCACGAATGGAATTTTGAGTGTCAGTTCGACGTCTCTATTAGGACCTTATTTACTGTCGTTGGCACCCTTTAATGCCCTATTTTGTATTCTACTGGCGCTGCTATCCGAGATTTAAACTTGTGGGGTTTAAGGTGCTTATAAAGGAAATGATCGCCATTAGAGGTACAAATGGCACTGTTCCATGGAGCGAAGAGAACAATTTGATGGATTTGATGTTGCCATGAAATATGGAATAGCTCACCAAATAAAAAGTCAAACAGAAAGTAGCAGACGTTTTAAATAGTTTCTCCCCTAAAAGGTAAATGAAAGAAAATAATATAGAGGAGCAGTTCTTGGCCGTTGTCAAGTATGAGATAATAAAGATGACTTCCTTAAATTTGCCCTTTTTGCAGGTACATTTCCTTTGGATCTGGAAATCTATCAGTTTTTGTGTAGTGTTGCTTGTTACCGCGCAAATTTGCAAAGTTAAAAATAAATACAATGGAAGTGCGCATTTCTTTTAGTTTCAATAGAGCAAAATTCTAACTAACTAAAAACTAACCAAACCATCCCAAGACAAGATACGTTCGTAGCGTTATAATAATTTAAAGCATCTTAAATTTTTTCTGGTTTCTAGATCCCAGTGATTAGAGAATTTGAAATGGTCAGTATTTGTGGAAATTGAATATTTCAGGGCTCAGCACACCGTTCCTATTGTAGAAGCTAGGGGAAGTCTTCAGATAAATCGTCTACAAATATGCTGTCGTCTATTGCCTCTAATAAACACACAACATTACAAGTTTGAGTTTCAGTTCCTGAAAAATAATATATTAGGGTTATTTCATAAGTTTGATTACTATATTAACACTATAAAGGCATCGTTTCTTTATGGATGGGTATTAGTAAATACCAAAGTTGATTCATAAATATAAATTAATAAACTAGGAGTCGTCTGAGGGCAGTCGGTGTACTTCTGCTTCCTTAACGGGCTTGAGCAGGTAATTCAGTTGTAAATTTCCCCTTTCGCATAATTTGAGGATAACTTATGAGTTTTTGTCAATTAATGTTTTGCTTAATGCTACCTTTTTCCTGAAATATACTAAAACTAAGATTTAGTTAAAAATGATAAATATCTTCACATTGTGATACCGAGATATCATGGAATCAAGTAACATGAAGACAACGAAAGTTCGAAGTTCTTTTAGTTTCAAATTTTCAGATGTCTCGAATAAGTTACGGAGCAAAGTTTTTTGCCTCTTGTATACGATTGTGTATGAAAAATATACTTTACCGTGTACCTAGTTGAAATTCGGCCTTTGCAATTTACATTTCGAGAGGCGAAAAGGAACCAACTTTCTGCGAGGCACGACGCGTTTCAGCGCTAATAATCTTATTAGATGAAGTATCTCAGGCAGCATACGTATCTAAAGTCGGAGGTAGTAACATAAATTTCCTCTCTCCCGTTAATATTTCATTTTAAACATTTCTAAAACCGCCAGTTTTACGAGGTCCACGCCGACGTTGCAGCCGCTACATCCAAATAAAAATGTAAATGAAAAGTTATATATGGGTTCTGGCAGCTTGTAACGGTCACATGATAATAAACCGAACTAATTTTTTGCCTATGAGTATGCGCCGGGAATGACCAAGTAGACAGTACAAAGGCTCGCATATAAAAGGATGGGCATGCATTGAATGTAAATTAGTACTGACACGTTTGTGCCGCATTTTAACGGATTATATGTTACGTGTGTACGCTCCGCGATACGGCGAACACTATTTTTTCCTCTAATTGCCTCATACACTCACAATAGAGTCTATGGATAGCGGAAATACAGGGTGGCTCACAATTACTATAGGTACAGGTAGGTAAATTTTGATGCAGATGGTGCTGAAACTTCTACAATAATATGCCCACATCTCTGTAATACTTCCTATGCCAATTTTTTAGAGTTAGAATGACCAGCTGGGCAAAATTTTTATTGAAATAAAAAATGCGTACTGTTCTTAGAAATCTTGGGCATAAAATAATTAAAAAGTAACCAGAAATTAATAAAATCTTGTTTTTTCTGACATCATGGCAAAATCAAAAATCTAGTTGTATCGCAATGCAAGTTTCGATCACAGTACATAAAACCTATAACATCTGTTTTTTTCTGTCCGATCACGGAACACACATACAGCTGAAAAAAATAATCGATGAAACGCAATAACCGTTTACTTTAGGAATTCGCTGAAATTTCTAGGGGTTCTAAAGGTTTGAGTTAGCTTCATTTCACCTCATTCAGTTGTCATTTTAGTTTTTCTAGAATCATTTGACTGGTTATTGGTCATCATCTATGATCGATTGGTTAATTCTAAAACACAAATAATGGATGTAAGTACTAAAGATGATACTGTGAAAGAGGTACGCCACTGGTGTTTGTGCAATTTTTGATATTTACTTGGAATAAGTCACAGAAAGCACACCTTTTTTGACTCTTGAGTTGTTTTCGTATCTTGCATGGTTTTCGCGCGGAAAAATACCAATTACGAAAATTGACAAAACATATTTTTATAAAAATTTATATTTGGACCTTTTGATCACAATAAACTTAGTTCAGCAAAATAACACAAAAAAAAATGATGAAAATTACCACAACTGATGGACAATTGCTAACACTGGGGTTAATTTCTATTAAGAATCCTTCCGGGATCCAAAGTACTTAAAAATTACGGCAATTAATTCAGAAAGGGTAAGAGATAATTTATGGAAACGAGAACACAGTTATAAATAGAGGTGTTAACTAAGCTGGCTGGTTCCACGTTTTACCGTGATAGACCACCTCCGTTTACGTAAATGTATATCAGAACGCCGTGCAACAATCTGTATTCAATGCTTTTCATTTGTTTCTTTATTTCGATTGGTTGACTAGATCAATATATATCCGCGTAACAACCTGCTTTTAGGTGATGTATTAATTATAACCATTTTCTAAAGCAATCCGGAAATGAACGCAAACTTGCTGAAACGAAACAATTACGAATTTGCTCTCGCTCCCGGCTAATAACATCCCCTGCTTTTCCATCAGTATATTATTATAATTATGTTTTATAACTTGGGCTGAAAGCGTATTTCAAACTAGCTATTCAGAAATAACTGCTGTTGTTATTGTACAGTATCATATTACGTTTCTATAATGATACTTGATAAAGTTTCCGGATAGTCATTGAACGCGATACCGTACATGTAGACTACAGCAATAGTTTTTGATATAATCATTTTCATGTTGTACTATTGTAAATTTAGTCTCAACGTAAACTTAAATTTCACGTGCATTTTATAAGTCACACATAATGAATTTAACCGAGTCTCAATATAATTCAGAAATTCCATATTTGTCATTTTATAAGTACTAAAAAAAAGCACAGATCGGCTTATTTTCAAGTTTGTTCATAAAAATTGAACGCTTTTTCTCGCTATTTACATCTTTGTGTTTTTCTTTCAGGTCAGGAATACCTGCTCACCGCACCAGTCAACGAGTACTTCACACAGAACCAGCCCGATTTTGCCAATCCTTCGCAGGTTATTCCGTTTCAACAATCTTCTGGCCTGCATCCCATCTCAAACAGTTTTTCGCCCCCACAAACATTTTATTCTAGAGATTTGCAAACATCTGATCTTCCTCTAACATTGCAACAAAATCTGCCCCAGTATCGTCACGATCCTGTACAAAACCAGCCCAGTCTAAATTTCAAAAACAGATTAGTCAACACGCCCGTAGGATTCCGACCTTCAAGTCAGTTTGTCCAACCGTCCACTCATAGACCAAACTACTCCCATCTTTTCTCGCAGTCACATTTTCACGATCCCTCGCAAACTGAAACGTTTCTAGGGGAAGTTACGATCGATAGCCCGTTAGAACCGCAATTCAACGAGTTTAAATCGGAGAGGAAAATTCCTCCCGAAATCACAGACAACTCGTTCGCAAATAATGAAGACACTAGTGCGAAAACCAGGAGCGACTCTGAGAAAAAGAAGTCGAGCTTGGCAAAAAATTACTTCGTCGACCGGAGTGGAGCGGTACACATTACCACGAAAACTCCGTTTAGCCCGAAACCTACTTCAACCACAAAACGACCAACCACGTTAGAAAGAAAAAATCCATTCAGTCCAACCCAGAAATCTACAACCCAACATTTTACTGTAAACTTAAATTCCGGTAAGAAACCGTTCGTGGCAAGAAATGCCAACGAAAACAAAAATACGCTGGATTTGGATTCCTTGCTCGAAGATCCGATAGAGGAAAACGAAGAACACAGTAATAAAGATAATGTTGAAGTAATCAAGAAGCATGAAATAGAAGAACCTGAGGATGATTATGAATACGAAACCAACTTGGAGGATGCAGAGGAAGACGAGGAGGAATATTCGGAGGATCATCAGGGTACCAATCAAAATAACGAGCTAGAGAATGGTGATTATCCTCTACATGAATATAAGGAAAACGAGACCGAGATTAAGGTAAGAATAGATTTCATAAATTTAACGCAGTCCGTTAAAACCTACATTAATTTTCGAACTTTAGATGGTACTCAAGTATTTTGGGTTTTTATTTTTTCTTATATTTGATTTCACATGAATTTATATGGGATTTTCAAAATATGTGGCTCAAATTATTGTACAAGTGTCGGAATTAAAACTTTCCATGAAAGTGTCACATTAAGTAGAGTTTTTATTTTTGATCTCTTATAGATAATACAATAAAAAAAGGAAAAGTGAAAAAGGAGGGATAGCCTCTAAAAAATTATCATCGATAATCACGCTTTACGCTAATGTTTGTGTTGGAAGTAAAGTCATCTCCAGATTGATTCACGTAGTATCAAGTGCATTGCTGAGAAAAATACCGTCTTTTCTGGTATTTATGCTGGTATCTAGTCACATCACCTTAACAGTGATGCTTAGATATAATTTTATGGCCGTTTCTACCCAAGCCGAAAGTGTAACCATATTCTTCATATAGTTAGTACAACATGAACTTGTTATCTCAAAATGTTAAAATGGGTGTTGCCCATTTCTTGCATCATTCACAAATGGTAAGAAAAAATAATATTTTTTAATATGTGATAAACTTAAAGTTGACTTTCCGATAAAGGTTTTATATGCTATGCTTCATTAAAATAATTCAGAATGTTAATCATACAAAAATATTTTCAATTTTTTAATGACACACACAAACTTTATTTACAACGCATTTCATTATTTCAGATACAGAGTTTGTTTGTTGCCAATATTTTTTTCTAAACAAAATAGTACTGATTTATTTTAACAGTAACGGCATTTTTAGATTGCTCTTAAAATTGTCTCCAAATTATTACTCTTGCATATTTTTCGCTGATTTTCAAGTTTAGTACAGTATCAATTAAATTTTTGGTCACCATTTGTGGATCACTCTGTATATCTTATGTACTAAACGCTATATAACTCCGTATGACTAATTAATTGCAGCATTATTTCAAATCTGACCAACATCCATCAATGGTAAACTCATCTGAAATCGAAAATCACAACGAAACCTACGAAGTTCTAACCATGAAGCCGACGAGTTCGCTAGAACAGTCCCATTTTAAAGATTTTGTTGACGTGGCGCAATTGGATACCACAACACAACAAACTCAAATGACCAATGTGGTCACCCAGCCCCCCTTAACTGTGTCGATGTCATCCTCGGTTAACGTGAAAAGAGGAAATGAAATTATCTCAAGCAATGGAAATTCTGAAGTTATAAATGGTCATCCGGGACTCGTGGTATCTGTAGTTACAAGTAAAACGGTGGTAAACAATACCATTATAGCACCGGCAACTCCTTCTCCAACGTATACCGAATCGATGGAAGTTAGTGATCCTTCCTCAAGAAGCATAGAAAATTCTACCGATTCTTGGATTGTGGTTGCATCTGTAAGTATAATTTCTTACCAAAATTGTTAACAAAAAGTATGTACGATGATGAATATATTTAACTGAGAAAGCTTTTAAAAAAGTTTACCTAATTTCCCAGCCTTTCTTCAGTCACTACGGGGTATTTATTATTTAGTCTGAAACAATCGCCCTGCCCTGCATGGTTGTTTGTATTGAGCTCATTAACAAAGACATTACAAAATAATTCAAACAGCTTTGAATTTTCTTTCGATAGCGTTGTAAAATGTTTTAAAGGTTCAAACCAGTAGAAGCGTCTCAGGTGCACGATATCTTCCATCGTCGGTGGTTCAGGATGAACGAATAAGACTACTAAACGAAGACGATATTGGATCTCGAGCTTCCAATGAAGAATTGGATTTAACCACGCATGAAATGATGCCCGATTATGAAACCACATTAAACGAGACACCAGAACCTAGTATCAAAGTCAGGACATCGACAGAAAGTTTGATTGATAAGCTGGATAGAGTACAATCCGACTTATCGAGTGGATTCCTCACTGGTAGGAAGCTAGCAAACTCTTAATGGGTTTATTCCAGATAATTTTGGTTTTAAGGTGGTTTCAAAACGGACAATATAGCTGTAATTAATGCGGAAAATATGCCAGAATCCTCCAGGACTTCTACAACTCCAACCACAACCAAAATTGGTACTACAAAGGATCCTTATCCTCAAGTTAAAATTCGCAAATTCTCCTCAGGCAACCGACCAAGTTCTACATCGAAACCGAAAAGGGTCCAAAATATTCCGAAAAAGTCAAGCAGCACACTACCTACGCCTATAAACCTGGATATTCCTCAAGGTGATCAACCGGTCTTAGGTAATTACGTTTCTTTTTGTATTTTTTCTGTATACCAGGCTGACCGTTTTTAGATGCATCGAAGATTGCATTAAAACAAGATATTAGTTCTCTTTTACCACCTGGATATAAACCTCCGAGAGAAGAGAAAGACGCAAATCAAAGTATTCTCGATCAAATTCTCTCAAAGGTTAGGCCCAAAGCGTCGAATGAAAACAACAAAACTTTCCTTTCGACGAAACTACCACCGGTTCAAAAAGTGGATGATATTTCTGCCTTTCTACCTCCCGGCTACAAACCGCCGAAAGAAGATGATGCCGCCTCAAAGACAATTAAACAAGACGATATCTCCGTTTTCACCCCATCGGGATATCATTCCATTAAAACTACTGAGAAAACCAAAGGTAACTTAAACGCATTTCATCAAAGGGAAAATAAAATCTGAATTGTTGTAGCACCGACAAGTATACTACAGAAGGCTAAACCTGTTGAGGATATATCAGCACTTTTGCCCCCAGGCTATAAACTGTCAAAATATAGCACTACCACTGCGAAGCCAAAGGTTAATGGTATTCTGATGAAAGCCAAACCAGTCGATGACATTACAGCTCTACTTCCGCCAGGATACAAACTACCCAAATCTGCTTCCACAGAAAAATCTAGTATCCTATCAAAGGCGACTCCCATTGAAGATATCAGCGCTTTGTTACCACCCGGTTATAAACCTTCCAATGAGGAGACGAAAGGTTCGCTGTTGTATTGTAAAAAATGATTTTATCATTTTCACTTCAATTTATTTGCAGGATCCAGAAATCTTTTAAAAAATGCCCAGCCTGTTGACATAAGTGCTTTCCTCCCACCTGGATATAAAGTCAAATCCACAAAAGAATCTAAAAATGACACAAAACTTGTAACACAAAATATTCCCTCCAACCTTTTGCCTCCCGGGTTTAATGATGGTGGTGTAAACAAAACACAGGAAACGACATCCGAAACAGCGACGTCTTCCACAGGTAAACCAAAAGTAGTTTTTCCTAGCAGACCTGGGGGCGGTAGTAGAAAATCGTCAAGGTTAACAACTCCTCGCTCAGCTGTAACTGAAATGAACAAGCCGACAATACCTACCATCCATAAGGGATGGCCTTCTAGGTAAAATAAACTGATATTATATTTTATATGTAGAGATTTTTGTAATGTATTTTAAATTTCCAGAGCAACGACGGAATTCACTGGTTGGCCTACGCCATCGACGACTCCAATTTCTATAGAGAAATTGCTGGAAGCGGCAAGAACGGCGCAATCTAGCACATCATCTGAAACTCCACTCACAACTTCTTCTACCACTACAACTACGACCACTACTACGACTACGCCAAAGCCTACAACACCTGGTATATTAGTTGACTTAGCATTTATGAACTTCAAAGCATTCACGCTGATGTTTTTACTACACACCTAAAGCTAAACAGAGTAAAAAATCTCTTCTCTTTTACCTAGGTGTAAAAAAAAATCAAAGAAAATAAATGGTGAGATTTGTTGACGTAGATAATATTCATTACTAGAAAATGGGGTTTGTTTTAGCAATTTTTATTGGTTTATTTTTGTGAAATTTGCTTGGTTGATATTCTAAGTTTTTAAAGTCTGACACGTAATGTTCCCCAAATATTTACAAAAAATTGTAACAATGGTTATTGCGCCATCAAAAATTGTAGTTTAGGTGTTTACTTTTTTCGGTACTTTTCAATAGGAGTGTGCACAGATGAATGCGACTTGGTCGGAACAATCAAACTAATAGGCGGAGCAAAATGGGTGCCTGAACTCTTGGATCGAAATACAAAAGAATATCAAATTTTGGCGAACGAAGTTCAGACTCAGGTAAATTCACGAAAATTGAATTAACTTTTTAACATTTTGGTCATAAACTTTTTACATCTTAGTTGAACGACGTATACAGCAGTTCGGCAATGCTAAGCCAATGGTACAAGAAAATTAGGATTGACGGGTTCAGGTAAGACTAGAATAATTGTAGTCCAGTTCGTGTGATGACACTTTAGCCAAAAAAATTTTTTATTTTCAAAAAAGAAAAATTATTTATTTATCTCGTAAAATCCAAACGCCAACGCATGCTGAAAGGTTTTGGATCACCTGGAAATTATATTCGCACGTCACATGGATTTTAATTTAACTTCAGTTAATGTCGATATTCTACTTCCAGCGAAGGCAGCATTTTGGTTGACTATCTAGTGGAGCTGAACGAGGTTGGACGGAAAGTCGACACTCAAGAAATAAAGCGACTTTTCCACGACTCGTTATTGAATTCGGCATCTAAACAAAATTCCAATAGGGAGGGAAAATCGCTAAACGAAACGGTTAAAGAAGGCAAACTTATTTTGGGAGATTTCGTCGTCGATCCCAAATACACAGATTTTATAGGTAAGAAAAACAGGTCGATTTCTTCTCGTATATCGCCGGTGAAAGTAAAGAAACCCGCGAAAGAAAGGGTTGGAACCAACTAGTGCCGCTTCTACAAAATAAATACCTACACTCAAAACGCAATGATTTAATTTAGGTCATGATTAATTAAGTCATTATAATCTAAACTACGAGCGATGAATTCATTGACGAAGAATAATGTAGAACGATATTTAAGTGCTATGTATGTGCTACAAATATATTATAATAATACTTTTTATAATATTAATTTAATATATTAATAATTTAATATATAATATAATCACAATTAAAAAAAAAGACCGAAACTAACCACAACAACTTATTTATCTGCCGAGACAATGCATATAACGATTTACCATTATTACTACAAGTAAAATTATAAATATCTATAGTTTACTATTTTTCGCAGAGATAATTCTAGTAAATGTTCCGTTTTCCGGATACGCCGATACTCTGCCAGGATAACCATATATCAATTATATTAATATGTTTAAACGAAAAATCGTAGGCTTTGTCAAAGAGACTAAAAACAGAAAAAGACATTCTATTGCAATTTTTTATTAGTTATTGTTAGTTGCAGTTTTACCTCTAACATAGCGCGAGATTTAGTTATGTGGCATTTTGTATTTTAATCTTTTTTTTATTTTAAATTAATCAAAATTTAAAATGTTAATAAGCTGACCTTAAATAATTCATTCTAGCCAGCTAAAATAAACCTGCTAAAATGAAAAATAATTTTTTTCAATGTCCACCAGCTATTATCCCATGGCACATCAGTTTCTGTTAATTTTAAAAATGGGATTCCTTGCTTCACATACTCAATAAAATATTTGTTGGCAAATCTTTTTTTTATCAAAAATATGAAATTGAATAGATAGGCCGACACTTGAATCTATCTGGCATACGGCTTATTCCCAACGTGCTTACAAAGAGACATAAACGTATCTAAGAAGATCTCAAGAAATAAAATAATGTTGGATCTGTTTTGACTAACTTTGCACGTATAAATCTTGACTTCCGGTAAGATGGGTATTTAATAATAGGGAAAAATCTCACACTATAAAATAATTATATTAATAGATAGGTAGAGTAGACCATATTCAGGGCAATACTAATTATAGCCAGTTTAATAGACATCATTCGCATAAAATTAAAATTAAATAATAATTTATTTGTAACCAAATCACTATAATTAGGTCTATAAAACTAAAACGAAGAAAAAAATAAGTTGGTGTATTATAGTTTTGTATTGTATTTCCTCTTAATTCCTTCTACTTAGATCAAAATATTGAAATTATCAGGAATATTTATTCGAAGAACAATTTTGTTTGTCTTACAAATTTTCATAGGCTAGTGGATACCACAATAATTTCAATGGAAATGCTATTGAGTAATATGCTCTCCTCTTCTAAATCTAAATTCCGAAAAAATTTAAAACTCAGAGTGTTAAATGTTTCGATTTGTCGAATTCCCATTTTCCTTTGGCAGTTCTAATCAAAAGCTATTCTGCCGTGAAATTTGTCAAGTTATTTCCGTTTTATATTGCCGCTTAGAAATTTCAATATGGAACGGGAAAATTTTCTGGAGTTTTATTTACTTCAATGTGTGTCACGCAAACCCGCATCGCTCTCGTATAAAACGCAGGAGTGGAATTTCAATTCTACATGTTTATGTCGATTTCAGTACTGCCCAAGCATGTCTATCCCACCGTCGGCTACGCGGAAGATAACGTCCTTCTCCCTCAATGGGCCATCGCAGTGATTGTAATTGGTTTGGCGTCACTGTTGTTCGTTATAATATTCGGAGTAACTGTGGTAAGTTAAAATATTGTTTCTTTGAATGTGAACTGAATTTCGAACTTCCATTGGCTCTATTTTAGTTAATCACGCTACTGTTCAGCTACGTGGATCACTGCCCGTTATTAACTGAACTAAACTAATTTCGTAAACTACTGCGCTTATACTAGTTTAAGCTCTTCTTTCGGGGCCGAGCCAACCATGGTGTGCTTTACTAAATGGTTGTCATCTCAAGGTTATTTCCACACTTGGGTTGTTAAAATCGTTGTTACTATTTGCTATGAAGATTCCCTGTTTACAAAACGAATCTCTGTGTAGTTGTGTATTGTTGTTTCGACCCAACTTACTTTGCAGTCCCAGATCTTAATGTTTCACCCTTTCTTGTGTGTTTTCTCTGAGGATATATTGGGAAATGTTTTTCTCTCCAATGTACAACTCACTTGATAAATGCACTTTATTTCATGCACGTTTTAAAATCGTTTCTGAATAAGGCGAAAAATATCAAACTGTTTTACATATTCCTTTGGCTTAAAACTAACTAACCAACACTAGGGCTCGTAGATACACACAAACTGCACTATCATGAACAGGACTTGCATCACGTAATTTTGCACAATGTTATACGCAGTTAGGAAAGTGAAGGGAATCCATTTTAAAATAATATATTTCAAAACACATAAAGTTAAAAGAAAGGCACTCAGATGCGTCTCTTTGCCTATATTTAATTTTGTGTAATTAAGTAAAATAAAGACCTCGGAAGCTCGAAATTTGAAGTTTAAATTATTCGTCAATTTGAGACAACTTTAGGTGATTCATTTTTTTTCCAGTTGGTCAATCGTCAAAAGAATGCTAAAAAGAAGAGTCCAACTCCACTGACGGAAGATATGTTGAACGAACTAAATAAAAATCACATGGGAGGCTTCGATAACTTCGGCGCGGATGACTTCTATAATATGGAGGATGTATGGAACGAGAATGCATACGAACATAAGCCCCACAAAAAGGTTAATAATAATAATAACAATAATAATAATAATAATAATAGCCTTTATTAAGGTAATTGCAACAAAACGAAAATTACGAGAGTGCAAGAGTGCAACCCACAGACTTAACAGTTTGCCTTATCCTTACAAGTAACAAGACATATATATATATATATATATATATATATATATATATATATATATATATATATATGTATATATATATATATATATATATATATATATATATATATATATATATATATATATATATATATATATATATATATATATATATATATATATATATATATATATATATATATATATATATATATATATATATATATATATATATATGTATATATATATATATATATATATATATATATATATATATATATATATATATATATATATGTATATATGTATATATATATATATATATATATATATATATATATATATATATATATATATGTATATATATATATATATATATATATATATATATATATATATATATATATATATATATATATATATATATATATATATATATGTATATATATATATATATATATATATATATATATATATATATATATATATATATATATATATATATATATATATATATATATATATATATATATATATATATATATATATATATATATATATATATATGTAATATATGTATATATATATATATATATATATATATATATATATATATATATATATATATATATATATATATGTAATATATGTATATATATATATATATATATATATATATATATATATATATATATATATATATATATATATATATATATATATATATATATATATATATATATGTATATATATATATATATATATATATATATATATATATATATATATATATATATATATATATATATATATATATATATATATATATATAAAACCTAGACCTATCTCTGTAGGCATTTTTTTTTCGTCGATCTTTCAAGTATACCATACCGGTAACGAGGAGTAAATCTTAGATTTAAGTTGCCTGTCCTAAAAGCTATTTTTTCAGAGAGGATTTCGGGGTATCTCGTTTTACTGATGTAATATGAACGTTTATTTATTATTTTATTTATCTTTAGAAATTAAATTCATATTCAAACATTAAACAGAACAAGGAAAACAAAAAAAATTAAAATCCTAACTATAGTGCCTCTGGAATACAATAGCGCTTCCGCTGAAGCACAATTACAGGCGAACTGTGCTTCAAATTAGTGATTTACTTATGTTGTTACAATAAGCATTCCATTTTGTTTGAAAATTTTTATATTGGCCTGTGGTTTTGCGAATTTTTGTCCCATGATATAGTCGCTATATTCAAAACAGTTATTTCAATACACGAGAACAAAAGAACTGTTTACACTATATGTAATGTATGCCAAGTTGATTGGAATAGCATTAGTACTGAAACTTAGCTTATTGGCGGAATTTTCTGAAGGAAGTATGGGCATTTATTTATTAATTAGTTCTCAATTTGCCTATTATAAAGCGAGAGTTGGAACAGTAGAAAAGCCGTTGTCATTCTTAAGGATAAGTAAATAAATAAATAATAAACATTTTTTGCGGATAATTTTATTCCTACTACGCGGACTCATTTTTGATAACCCACTTTGTACTTTATACGAATGAATTAATTATTTTTAACATCCTGTTAACATAAGTATCTGGGTTTGAAGAACTAAGCTTTCAGCATGATATATCATAAAATTCAAAAAATAAAGTTGAGAGCTATAAACACTTTCACTGTGGTTGACTTCTACCACGTTAATCGTGGTTATGACGTTTAATTGAACTATAAATCATTTATAATATTGTCGATAATAATTATTATATAACGAGTCTAGTGAGGCTTTTGAGCTGTCAGTGAACACAAAATATTTTCCGTACTCTTGTGCTGGTATTATTATTTGTACCTTGTTTTTAGCGGTCTAATGGATCCATTAATGACAACAGTATGTCGAATCTATATGACAGTTGGAGATCTGAATGGAACGGTTATTACTACAATAACTATTACGGAAACCCAACAAGCAGCCAGCACAGCGGATTCAGCGGTCGCAACAAACGACCCGATTACGATACCAATTTTTAGGCAAGTAATTTGGAACAACATTGAAGATGGCAACAATGGTAAAAACGACTGTACAAAATGGAACAGAAATAAATGACAAACAGGGTGTTAATGTAACATTATTTTTTTCGAATTTTTGGTGTTAATACGAAAATGTTTTAATGTGCCAATCACGGAAGAAATTCAATTCTGTAGTTATTTAAATTTATTTTTTTCTTTAATTAATTTATTTTTAAAGAGCTTTGGGAAGAGGTTTAAGTGGTTTTTTTGCCACTAATAAGCTATTCATAACGTAATTATTTCGATGTGTATTGTTTTTATTCGTATTAAAGTGAAAATTTCCTACAACACAAATTATTAAATATCACATTGTTGTCGAAACGCTTACTACAGAATTGAATAACAAACGATCCGTTTGATCTATGTGTTTAGTCGGTTTAATATCCAATTTAAATAACATTGCCGCCAAATTGCAAATCTACCTTGAATTTAAGACGTATTTTTACGGTACCGAAAATTATTTAGACAAATGTATTTGCTCAAGTATTGCCTAGATTAAGTAAATTTTACGTTGTAAATGTGATTTCGGCAAGGGATTGTTTAGAAACACTTCCTTCAATAACATCGTTACGCTTTGTACTCTCGAAACGTAGGAGTATCCGCTTTTGCCAGTGTGAAAATGTTTCCGCTTAACGCACATGTTATTGCTGGAAAATTGCTTTTACAACTAAAGGGTGTCAAATTTTTAAAACGATTGAGATGATTAGTAGAATGAAGGTGCGTACTAGCGCTTGAGCGCAAAATGCGACTGTTCGATTAAGATCTTCTTTCCGCCGTCAACTAATTTCATTTTAAGATGCATATTGTTTACCACGAATAGTTTAAACAAATAGGATACACGATATGCAACATTTGGACATTTTGCGTTCATTCGTGAGCAAGGGACGGCCGTAACACGTAATATTTTCTATGTTATATGGTAACTGTAAAATCTTATATGGCACTTTCTAGTCGAACAGCCTAAAACAGTGTATTGCACTGTACAATGGCTGTGATTATTGTCTGCCTAGACCTTAACAGATATGAATAGATGAACCTGAAATTACAGAGAAATTTTCTATCTTCTACGATGTCGCTCATCAATTGCAAGTATTTGATTCGTGGTTCGTCTGGAAATGTTTATAATCTGTAAAATTTCTCTGTATCTCGAATAGGGTTTTAAACGTAGCACTTTTTTGTATATTATTGAAAAACCTATAGTTGGTTTTTAGATTATTACATATAATTTGTCGTTTTGTACTTATTTTTTTTTTATAAAACTAACGTTTTAGTCGTAGCTTCACAACCGAACTCTCCGAATAGTTAATACATAATTATGCTTTCTTCTTTTGGCAATTTTTGTTCAATGTAAATAATTGTATATAAAATGAACATTTTGTCTATCCACCATTACCAACGCCTTTCATATTTTACTCTGTCACTTAATTTATTATTGTAATTTATATGTACTAAAATTCAATAAAATTATATTAAAAAATGTCTTTCAAATTCTAATGAATTTAAATGTGTAAAAGGTAATATAAAAATGGCCATGGTCTACAAATCATAATTTTATTCAATTCAAAATATATATCGTTGGAGATTTTTTAGCATGAGGAAAGTTTTAATCAAAGTAAATCCACTAGAGTCCGTCTTTATTTAGTGGAAGGTTAAAGAAAGTTGTAATTAAAAGTTTAAGCAAACATGTTCTGCCTAAATAGTGATTATATTTTGCAGTATCAATAGAAAAAAGACAATGAATTCTGACGCGACCTTCAAGTCGACAAAGCAGCTGGTATTATTTTTATCTTCAACTTCATTTTACCGGAAACGTAATGATAAAATCCAATTTCGTTCGAAAAAGAATTTTTTAAAATGCCTTTCCTCCAAACACGCTATCTTTTACGTCTCCTGAATGTTAACTAGAGCCTATCGAATTTCCCTTTGTGCTTGGGCAAAAGAAATTGACAAACAAGAATAAGTAGATTCAACATAAACAGTGCCGTGTTCGATTTCTATAACAATAAGAAACAATTTGAAAATAAGTATACGTAAAAGAGTACGTTTTTTAGAATAATAATAGGTAGGTATGTACAAAGGCGAAATTTTTTTTTTCAAAGAAAATTGCACAAGCTACTGTAATACTTTATACAAAGCTTGTTTCGCCAATCCTCCCTCCTCTTGGCTTCTTTAGAGCTTAACTGAAACTGTAACAGTTTTATTTTTAACAGTTTCAGTTAATCTCTGAAGAAGCCAACAGGTTGGTTGGCAAAACGTTAGCAAATTCGGTTGAACAAAATCCGACGCACAACGAATCCACAAGTTTTTAACATATAAGAAACATAGCAAACCACCGCAATTTTGTAATTCATGTTATTTGGTGGAATATACGTTATGATTATACATTATATTAAGTTGCAAGGGTAAAAAGTATTATTTCGAAAATCTTGAATATATTTCCTCAAAATTCGTATTGTGTCAAGTTGCTAGATAGTCAGATTATTCAGGAAATTGAAAAATATATAACTATGAAAGTCGTATTGGACAAAACATGATCAGGAGCACTGCATCCTCCAAATACAATAACGTACCAATATTAAATTTTTAATAGGACAAATTTACCAACTTGTGAATGTCAAAATGTGAAGTGTGTATGCGAAAAATGTTTTCTACTTATTCGATTGTCATGAAAAAAAGATTAGAATGCATATATAAGTATATTCTGTTTTTATTTTTTTTAACTTTAATTTCAAGTATGTTTTCTGTATTTATCAGCTCATATTCCCATTTAATAAAGCATGTCCGATTATATATAAATTGGATCGCCGCGCCACCCCATAAAAATTTTTTTATTAACACTAAAACCATCTTATTTTTAAATTGTAGCCCATTGAACTTTGAAGTAAATCTTTTAAATACCGATTTGCTATTCAATCTTACCGAATTCTCGGATCACCATCTTATTTAAATTTTAGGCTCATATCATGAGAATAATATTGTTTACTATTCATGTGCTTATATTAGACAAAAGCAGTTTGACGTATTGTTTCAAGTATAACACGAAATCATGCTAAACGATCATGTGTACCTGATTTTTGAAATTTTAATTTTGATGTTTTATTGAAAAACAATAAAATAATATAACGGCTGCAATATTTGCTAGGCCTCTTACCTGATGCTACCGGATACTATTTATTTTTAGACTCCTGTTAGTATCAAATAATAAAGGAATCCAGATTATTAATTCCGTTGTACATATAATTTGCTCTGCATTTTCCACAATAAAAGGGAGTTTACAGGCCTTAAAAAATGTATTTAATGCAGGCTTAAAACCGCAGAAAACATTTCGTATTCATGCAAAAAGTGTGTTCGTGCATCGTATAACAAATATTTGTACACGTGTATTTTCGCCGATGGATATTTCAATTTAGGTGCAACAACATCGCCGAGAAACGGGAAATAGCAAGTTAAAACTAAAATTATTAATAAGAATCCATGGCCGTAGAAATCTCAGTTTCAATCGAGACTTTCGATATACAAATTAATTTTAAGACAAGCTACGTGTAATTATTATTAATTAATTAAAACAGGACACTAAATAGCTAAAGCTGTTATATATAAAATTATTATCAATTTGAGATTTGATTTATTTTGTAACGCATTTTTGGTGACGCAGTTCTAAATTTTTAGGGAAACGGACACCAAATGTTTGAAATTAAGTTGATCGTCGATGCTAATAACCAAACCAAAGTTTTGTTTAGTTACAGGCAAGTTTAGGTTTAATTGTTCCATGTCACGCCGCTGGAACATCATTGCCAACATATATGTTTATGTAGATAATCATAGGCTGCCACCACTTTAAAATAGGAATCGGGTTGCGAACTCTGAACACTGTGAAAATGGCCCCTAACGCAGAATTGTTCCGCAACGCAAGATGGCTGATGATAGCGAGTGGAACATGGCGCTTGGACATTCCAAATGTTCCGAAATCATTTTATAAATTTTACAAAATATATTCCACAGCAATCCATCTATACTATTCTTCTACACCTGTTGCACTTTTATTGGAGTTGTATTCCCTCTTTAAATACGATAAAGTTGCAGGTAAGCTTAACTTGGTTGACATCTAAAGTGCAGTTAGTTTTATGCTGAAAGTTGTTGTTTCAGGCTTTGAAAATATATCCATGTTCATTTATATGGTAATCTTGATTGTAAAAATTCGAATTTGTCAATCTAGACGAGTGATAGAGCTGTTGCGAACTTCTCTAAAAGAGGAAACTGACATTCATTCTCAATCGGATAAAAACATTTTAAAGATTTACAAAAGCCACGTAAGCTATTGCACAAAAATTACAACATTTCTCACAGTTTTGGTAGTTTGGAGTGCTATTTACCTTTCCGGTTCGGGTAAGCGGTAACTCCAGATCAAGGGGAATGATTATATTTCACCTAATTGTCAACCTCACTTACCTTCCAGGCATAATAAATAGCTGGACGTTTCCAGAGTTCGTATCAAACGAGACCGTCAGCAAACCATTGCCGCTGTCTCTGTGGTATCCCTTTGATAAGAACAAACATCACAACTTCGTACTGTCTCACCAGATCACCCAAATAATGTTGACTTCACTTTTTAGTGGGTCGGTGCACACGTTTTCTAATTCGGTGATGATATATTTAAGAGCACGGCTAGTAATTCTGCAACATCAGTTCAAAAACTTTGACTCAATAACGGCTTGCACTGAGTCTCCGAAAGTGGATCTTGCTGGACATCTCCGTCTAAAAGCCCTTAGCATTAAGCATCAACGACTTATTAGGTTAGTTCATATTCAATCTCATCTTCAGATGTATTTTGGTTGACGAGTTTCGTTTTCTATTGATCTGGCAAAACCAAGTTACAAGACCATCGGAAATAAATACTCTTCAGTATTTAGAATATCCATTTCATTATTAGTAACGAATAATTTCTGAATTTGTTTTTTTTTAATACATTATATTTATAATATATATTTTTACATCCTAGTTGACGTTCGCTTATTTAATTAGTCACATTTATATGTAATCTAAGATGATAAGTGAGTTTGGGTACCAAAATGATTGAAATATATCTGTTCAGGGTTACTGACGTTCATGCGTTTTGACACAAATACCTGTACGGACTGGATTTGCCATATTGATTTATCTAAACTATTTATAGAATTAATATTTAATATTTTGGCAGATAACCCATTCAAATACCAATGTTCTACCCGTACCACGATAACAAAAAAATAATATGGTAGCAAAATCGGATTTTGTAGACTCCTCTGAATAACTCGTCATTAAATTTATTTTTCTACTCCCGTCTGGAAAATGCCTAATTACTCCCCGATCTAGCGTGTGGGAAGCGTCACTTTACCACGTCAGTTTCGTTTCCCACGAATCCGAGCCCCTTCGGACATTTTCGAGATTTTACCGCACGGATTTGGGAGCAATTGGATGTTTTCGGAGATATTTCCCACGCTTTGAATTTTGACGTTTGTCTATTCTGACAGTCATGTCATTGAATGTATTGGTGTTGTTTTACGAAAATGTAACCAAAAACTAACGGTCGTAGAAAAAGTATAGTATGCAAGACGTTCGGTAAACTTTTTAACTCACTCGTTTATTAAAAACTCGCGAGTCAAATGCCGTTTACCGAATTTGTTGCATAATATACAATTTGCATGAAGTCACCAAATCGTTTATAGCTTTTTAAAAGAAGCAATTTAACTAATACTATACCAATAGATAGATAGATCATTATGTTTGGGTTTGAAAAATAATTTTATAATGTAACTATAATAAACCGTCGTACATTCTAAAAGTAAAATGTTATAGTCTGTATATTTGGATCAAATCTGGATATTTAAATGAATTGGTATGCGCTGTGTTTTCAGAAGTGTACATAACTTGAATCAGTTGCTGCAAGGTATTATGGTCCTAGAATACAGTGTGACTTCCGTTGTTTTGGCCGCCGTTATATTTCAGATACTTGAAGTACGTGCCTAAAAATATTGTATAAAATACATAAATATACAATTAGAATCCCATTTCAGAGAGAAGAGCTAATATTTAACTGTTCGTATTTTGTCTTGGTAACTTGTCAGTTAATGGCCCTTGCCTGGAATTCGGATCAAATTATTGTCCAAGTAAGTAAACTTGCTCGATTTATATAATAAATTTCCAAATAGAATGCTCAAAAAATAAATCGCGCCCTTCAAAAGGGTCGGTTTTATCATCCTATTGACGTGACATCATTGTTTTGAAGTCTGAAGTTGCGTTTGTGAAGCTCAATTTTATGTACCTAGATGATTTTGTTGCTGCTGAATGAAATAAAATTGATTTATAGATTTTTGTTTTTAAGAGTTTTGGATTATCCACGTCACTTTATAGCAGTCGATGGTATGAACAAGATCTAACAACGAAACGCATGACTCATATAATGATCATGAGATGTCAAAAACCTTTATGTCTGACGATTGGTTCTTTTGGAGCAATGACTACTGATGCAGCTCTTTCTGTAAGATTGCTTTTATTAATGAATTCCTTTTTTATATGTACTTCATTAGATTATTAGAAATTATCATTTTAGTAGTAAGTATTTTATAATTACTTTTTCAGCGATTAAAATTAGCATACTCCTATATCTCCGTCATGACATCTTAAATTCTAACGTCCTAATTCGGTGGAGTTTTTAGTGTAAGTAACTTATTAGAAAACGTAACCTAAATTATATAAATGATTGAAATTAAACGTCAATAGAATTTGTTTTCCAGCCCATAAATAATTCCATTCGAACCTTAGCAAGATAAAACAAAAAATACTCTTTAAACAAGAAAATAATATTTACTGCAGCCTGCAACAGAGGATCCATAATTTGTCTACATCAATAATCTCCAACCGCAATCACAACTACACTATAACATCTGCTTATCATGTGCAGATTACAAAAATTACTACTTTGTTATTATTAGTAACACTTCTTCAGCAATCTTTTAATTAAACATGTTGCCACTAATGTATGGGGTGTTCATTTCGAATGGGATGGCACAAGCTTATTTTGTTGTCATGCTTCAACAGACATATATAAATTATTAAGAAAAGTTGATATTTTGATTGTTCTGGATTATTCAAAAAGTCAACAAAGCCTATAAAAAATAAAAATTAGGTTTAGTTTTTCATCTAGAGGTTAGTTTCACATATACGATGTCCTCTATAATCAACGCTACATACAAAGAATTATTTTATTTGTATGGGATGGCATTCCCATTTCAAAATTCAAATTCGTCTTTGCAATGTTTTCTTAAAACGATTTTTTAAAACAGCTTTTTAGATGCTTATTCGCACAAAAAAGTTCTATCCATGGCGAATATATTTTTTTAAACATGTAGCGAATATTATCTATATCACAAAACACTAACCTTCAAAATATTCATATATAATTATGTCCATATTACTGTAACACGCGTAATTATTTAACCTCTAGTAGAAACTAGATAATCTTTAAGAAGCTTGGAGACCATATTTTAATCTAAAACGAATGACACCAAGTCCGTCGGATATGCAGCAACCTGGAATCACACGTTGAATGCCGCCAAAAGAAATGCATTAAAAATAAGATACTTCGAACCTTTGCGTGTAGCTAAATTAGAGGTTTGTATGCGATTCCGAAAGGAATGTTTGTGTTGCCATTTGCCACCTAGTAATCAAAGGGATATAAGAAACAGATTTATTAATACCACATAGGCGCCGAAAGAAAAATACCTAATCAGACCTTATGAACTTCTACAGTAGAACAAAGTGTTCTAACAAGTCAATATTTGATAATAAATAATAAATAAAATTTGCTCATAAAAACCGTAACAGACTTTAGCTACTAACTACCCATCATTAAGTAAAGCAATAACTGAATCTGGGGTGCGGAAGGAAATGATTGAAATACCACTGGTTTAACGTATTACAAATTCTGTCTGTGAGAAGCGGAGACAAACTGACATATAAAAGACTGGTATCTGAGGAAAAAAAATCATCTAAAATGGGGCCGCAAATAGGGTTGGTTAAAAATATTAGAGTCTTAATGATCCTTTTAGGGGTATGGAGATTAGAAATACCAAACATTCCCAAGTTTCTAGCTGGATGCTATACTATGTATTCGGTTATAATACAGATATTTTACGCGACGTTCGTTATTAGTTTTTCAGTGGAATTATTTAAACTGTTTAAAACTGATATTCCAACAGGTAAGAGACGAACAATAGGTCGTAATAAAAGAATTTCCGTTCACGTTTAATATTTCCAGAAATTTTTCAATTCAAATTTTGAAAGAAAATCTCTATTTTTTGGTCTCATGTTGCCAACTTTTTTAATAATGATGAATGTGATGTTTTATTTCCAAACTTTTTTGTTGTTATGGCCTTTGATACAAAAAATAAAGTCGTGTTTCATGATTTTTCAATAGGACTTTGGAGTTTTATATTTTAAATCATTCATTCCTCCGTAATTATTCATTGCCCATAAATCATTATAAATAACAATTTTTATTACCGTGCATTGCAAGCATATACGATTGCTTGAGTGATTTTAAGACGAAAAATTCATATAAACATACTACCAAAAATGCATATTTTTCAAGATTTCTAAATTCAAATTCAAAATTCTCTAAAAAATTTCCTTTTTCTTTTATATCACTTTCGATATTTTTATCAAATTTGGTGTCCATTTTTTAATTATTGAGAGGCGGTTTTTGACACAAAGCTTTATTTTTATTTTTACCAGTGGCGTCCGTACGGGGTTTGGACTGAATATTTTTCAAGAAAAAAATGGCACGCCACTACTTTTTTTGGAAACAAAACTGATTTTTAAAATCCCCATTCAATTTGGTGCATGAACCTGCTCTCGTACGACGCAAGATTTTTGCTTAAAAAAATTAATAAATACGAAAAATGAACCACTAACAGGAAGACGTTTATTATTAAATAATATTAAATAACTGTAAACACAAGATACTCTCCCAAAAAAAACTGCAGCAACTGCTGGAAATGACCTCACCCCACTTCGATACATGCGTTTGTACGCCTTATTAGGGACTGGCGAACCATTTCTAAAATAACAGGGATGTTCCTAATAAGAGAGTCTTCTATTCGATTTCTTAGATCTTCCTCACTTTGAACTGGTGTGTACACTAATGTTTTAAGTGTCCCCAAAGAAAAAAATCTATTGGATTTAAATCAGGTGACCTGTGTGGCCAAAAATTTGCAAATTGCAAAATATGCATTTTTGGACCTATGTTTATATTACATTTTTGTCTTAAAATCACGCAAGGAATCATTTCTTAAAGTTTGGCAGCGTACTTTTTTAACACCCTGTATATATAATGCCTTAAGAGAGGTATAAAGAGACTACGACGGGAACGGGTTTAAACGCCTAAATGACTTTTTTTTTTCTGAAAAGTTACCACTATTAAAAACTCTTTTAAGAAAATCCGTGATCTTGTTTTGAAGATTTCATATAATCTTTTGGGAAAGAAAAAAAAATTTTTTTTTTGGTAGATTTGGTACTTTTTAGGCCGTTCATCCAGCATTTCTGGTCTGCTGTTTATTTGTTTACTAATTGCAGCTCTCGAAAATATGTCGAGGTTAATCTTCGTAAGCCTGTTGATAATCAAGGTGGGAATTTGTCAAACAAAAAAAGTGATGGAACTATTGAGACGTTCTCAATTGGAAGAAGATGAAATAATTTGTCAGGCAGATTATCTAATTTCTGAAATTTATAAGATGCATGCACTGTACGGATTTAAACTGAATCTTGCACTTTCTCTCACTGCAGTCTTAACCGCAGTTACGTTGTGTATAGTGGGTGAGTTTTTCTTTGCTAAATATTTTTTTCTACTCCCGTCTCTAAAATACCTATATAATTTTAAAAGTCTACCTAATTTAGTTAGTTCCCCTAGTCAATCGTTATTATTGTGTACTTGATATTTTTATTGTTTTTTTTATCGTTCTTATTGTTTTTTTATCGTTCTTATATTCAAATTAAAGAGAAATATGTAATATAAAATATATTTGTTAGATTTCCTAAGATGCATTGCAGAGTCTTGAGAATGAGAGCGACAAAAGTTCGGCACCGATGGCAACAAAATTAACACTAAATGGAATTTATTTAATCGCATACTCAACATTCCGCGCCCCCTCCCCCCTCTTCCCGCTATTCTGTATAATGAGTGCAGAGTAGAAACGGGTTCTTTATATTTTACATTTACTTTATTTATCAAAATTAATGGTGATAAATCTGTGTTGTCTACAAAACGTCATACATTTGGCGCATTTGTGATTCATACCTTTCAATAATTCTGAGGTAAAAAATTACCACTAAGAAAGTTTCGTTATTTTTTGGTTAAATCCTATCTAAAAGCATGATGTATTCCAGGAATTCAAGCCAGCTATCAGTTTTATCGACAGTACATAAATATAAACGATACTTCTGAAACAATGGACATACCACAAATGTTACCGCTGTGGTATCCAATTATCGACAGAAACAAGCGCCACATGCTGGTTATGTCACACCAGATTGTTCAGACGCTCTTAACTAGTTTGTTCACTAGTGTGGTGCAAACTTTTACTAACTCTATACTAATTTTTCTTAGAGCCCGGTTGCAGATTTTGCGAATTCGTTTTGTCAATTTCAGTAGCGTTCAAGTCGGTGAAACGTCTAACAATGAGGATGAAATACCATTGAGGACATTAAAACATCTATGTGCATATCATCAACAGTTGATTACGTGAGTAATGCTCTATATATATAAAGTAATGTGACCACCTTGTTATTGCAACATAACTGACTAAAGTGACGAACGGTATATTAATATTTGGGATTAAAACACAGATCTGTTTAAATTTTTGTTAAATGGGGACAATTAAAGTACGTAACGAATTCTACCCCAAATTCCAGAACATGACCATATAGCCGCATGTCAGCCTGGTTTTAAAAATATAGTTCTAATACAATTAAGAAATCTCAAAAATGGACGCTTAAATCGACTTCAACTAGGTACATCTTTGTTTAATTAAAAAATATTAGAGAAAGATAATTTTCTTTTCAAAATTAAATAACGTATGTCCCAAAAAAATTATATCCTTTTCAAAGTATGCAAAATACTGCAAGCCATGAAGGTGAAAGCAAATTTCAAATTTTTACCAAAGAAATATATTGTGGCACAATCACGCTATACCAAAAAAATTGAATTAGGTTTTCATATTCTGCCCTTAGGAAAGTTTAGGGTTTTTTTTCCACACCTTGTATAACGTATGTTTCAGTTCTGTGGAAGAGTTAAACGACTCGTTAAAATACATACTGCTTCTAGAATGCAGTGTTACTTCAATTCTACTCGCAGCTTTGCTGACACAGATTCTTTGGGTAAAAGTTGTTGTTTAATTATTAAGTTCTTAAAATTATAATTTTCCAATGATTTTAGAGGAGATATGTAGCATTCAATGTAGCACACTTTTTTCTAGTTGTGTTTCAAATCATGGCATTATCATGGAATTCTAATGAAATTGCCGATCAGGTAATAAGTTTTACTAGAATAAAAAAGTAGATGGAATTATTCCCTTTTTTTGAAACTATTCACTAGAGTTCGCAATTATCCAACGCCTTATATGAAAGTAACTGGTACGTCCATAGCAGAAAATGTAAATTGTTGCTTTTGATGATGATGCGAAGTCAGAAACCACTGGTACTAACTGTAGGCCCACTTGGACCCATGACTACTCAAGTTGGGCTTTCGGTAAGAATGAAGTTAATATTATTTTAAAGAATTTAATAGTTTTGTTCACATTGGTGTTCACGTAATAATAAAAAAAAACAAACCAAAAATAATAAACCATTCATCTTGCGAAAAAATAGTTTTTTTTTTATAAATGTAAGTTCATTTCTATTTCAGATTGTCAGGCTGGCATATTCTTATTTTTCAGTGATGTCGTCTTAATGTATTCGATCTCGTGTTGACTTTTAAATAAACAATAAATATTAACAGTGTTTTATTAAAATGTCTATCACACATAAATTAAATATTTCATATTGCGTCGACTTACACATTTGGCAAGTGGATTCTTTTTAAATTTCTTCATCAAATTGTGCCAAGATTAAGATATTGGTGATGATGGTTGAGACGATCTGAAAAAATATGTCACTCAACAGTATTTTGTCCAACCTTTCTCCAATAGAAGCTTAAGCTCAGTTAAAATTTTCGCAATTTTTAGTTGTACTATACTTACAGCTGTTATTAAATCATAACTTATGGTAAATAATCCGCAAGGAGAATATTTCTTGTTATTTGCGGATAACCACTCGAAAAAGGCTTCAAACTGAATATTATTAATTATTGTATTTGAAAATTATTAATAGATAGAGAGGGTTACCTCTTGAGTTATAGGAGCACTATCAATTTCATTAATGCAATTGCACAAAAGTAGTTTCGTCGAATTTACCTGAAACAGAAAACTTCAGTGATGGTCGGAAAAGGGCAATAACGATTTACACAAAGTTTTCTAGCTAAGTATCTAAGCATTTTAATTCTGGTGTACTGTTTAACTAGTTTCTCCCTAGTACATTCATAGTGTAATATTTAGTTGATATACGAAGATCAACGCTTTGGTGCTCGAAGCAAGTATATTAGTGGTTTTGTGAACTTAATACGATTTCTCACAGGTTTTATTAAATTTACCTAAGCGGTTGTTGCTTTAACTTTTTATATAGTTAGTTGGAAAACACCTTGTTTAACTGCCCGTTCTCGATATTTAAGTACTTACTTCCTTATAAAAGTTGCCGCTGACACAACTAATGCTGACAATACGGTAAAATACATATATTATCCAGCAAATAGGTATTCCAAGGAGGTTTATAAAATTCTTCGAGAAATGTGTGTTGAATGTTAAATATATCGCGCTGTACACCATTGTCAAAACGTTTGTCGTCAAAAGCGAAATTGCTGTAAGCATGTAAATCTTGTAGTAGTCGTTTAGCTTTAAATTGGTTTCGTGTAGCAAAATGTAGCAACGGCGCAAATCCTTAAATCTTTTAAGCTGATTCGCCTCGATCTTCGACGTCAGAAGAAAGCAAGGTTTCACCTCTTCGGTCCCTAAAAATGCAGCGATTACTGGCAAGGTTATATAATAATCAAATGCTTAACATCTATCCCAAATATGAAGAATAAAAGTTTCAACCAACTTATGGACACAATAATAAGTCTACTTTAAGTGGCAAATAAGAGCTATACCAAGATAATTTTTGGTTTCCAGAAGGATAAGAAAAAATCATTTTGAACTAAAAAATAACATTAAACACTATCATTATTTTTGTACCAATTGATAAATTCATTTTGGTTACCACTTGAATACATTTGTTTACCTTTTCTACAATGTTCGGACAACTGAGTAATCTCAGTATTGATATGATGAATTCTATTTTTCAGCATAGTACTCAGGATACAATAACTGATTTCACAAAAATGAGTAACGGCGTATCCAAACCATGAATCCAATATAAAGACATATGTCTTCCACTTTTTCATATCCCTATTGAACCATATAGCCCAGTTAGTGAAAAAGTACGCTTGAAACCCGAAATTTGTGAAAAACCAGCTAACCAAGGCCCACATTATAACTTTTTGGTCCATAGACACGCCTTCGAGGCATCTAAAGTAGCGATCTCCTTTGTTAATGCCTTTGAAAATTTCAAAGAATTTTTTACGTGGTGTTAGTAAATTGACCACAGTATAAATTATTGAAGAAGCAAATACTGTTATGCCAGACACTAAAGAGGTCAAATTTCTTCCAACTAAAGCCTAAAAACGCCTCATTTTAACAATGTAACGGTTTAAAATAATACGGTGTGTCCAAGGTAGACAGAAGATGCAGATCCCGAAGAAGGTAAGAACTGATACAAGTTCGGCAAAATTAGAAAAAAATTGCTCAATTTTATACATATGACTAGATTTTATGCAAAATATTTAGTTTTAGGAAGTTAAGAAATATCGAGTACATTAGAAAACATTCGAAATAAATGTAAAATTTGGAAAACCACATTTAAAATATTAATACTTAGCTTGGACACAGCGCATACAGGATTATTCTGGATTATTAAAAGTACTGGAGAACGAATAAGGAGTAAATTAATATACTTTATATAAATATATAAATAATATAATAATAATACTTGATAATACACGTCAGTAGCTGGGTATATGCCTACAGTTTTTGATAAAAATATATAGTTTTTAGAAAATCACTTGTTAGTTCTCCAGAAATCACACTACATAATGTGTAAATAAAGCAAAACCCCCCCTTTAGGTGACACTGCGACTATAATTCACGCCATTTTTCTACAAATTAAATGAGAGTCAAAATTAGACTTGAAAATTATTAATTTGAATTTTGTTCCGGGCGAGTATAATTGAAAAACATGATTTTAAAGTATGTTCGGGGGGCATTTAACAACATTAAAAGAAAACACATTTCTAATAAACTTGATTTCGACCCCATTCCACTTAAAAAACGGATCTGTGAGCATCGCAACTTCACCTATCATGTTGATTTTGTCAAAATTTTGTGGAGAATAGTAAACATTGTGTTTTTGGCATTCCCAAAATTTCAATACAGGAGAACTTACTTTATACAAACATGGTATAAGTATATGTCAGCCATGCATACCTTTACCGTTAAAACGTCAAAGAATAGTAGAACTATTCCCAGTACACGAAACGCTAGATGCGATATTTGGATCAGAAGGAGCACCAGAGAAAATTTGTAGCGTCCTCCCGGTTTTGATATTTTGCTGTCGGTAGTCCCTAAAATGCCTGATATAATCAGTACTGGTCTATAAATTTCATAGATATTCTGCCTGGACAAAATATTTCGTTTGAAAACCTTCGATCGCCATTTTCGTGGTATTACGGAGTAATACATATTAAACGAATGTTTCAGACATTGAAAGTGATTTAACGTAAAAAGCGGAAACAAATATTTATTCCGCGACTAATAATTTATTAACAAACTTCCATCAATCTTTTATTGTAATTCCGTGTTGGGGATTTGATTATGATAGATTGCTAGTTTCATTTGCTTGAATAGATATTCGTAAAACTATTTAGAAATTTATTACGTATGGTGTTCTTTCACAATATGTTAACAATTTTACCGCTAGCCATTCTAAAATTAAAATCTTATGACTTGCATATTTAGATCAAATATGGATATTTAAATGAATTAGTATTTATTTTCTTTTCAAAAGTTTGTATAACTTGAATCAATTGTTGCTGGGTATTATGCAATGAAGTGTCACTTGATTTTGCCGCCGTTATATCTCAGATACTTGAAGGAAAAGTCTAAAATCATTGATATAAAATAAAGCATTGATATAAAATGAAAATAGCATTTCTAAGAAAAGAGTTAATATTTAACTGCTCTTATTTTGTATTAGTAAGTTAATAATTGCTTGATTTATATCGTACATTTAAAAAAGTATCCCAGAATCAAAAGATAAATCACAACGGACAAACATTGACGGGTGGGCACTTATAGCATTGTGTTATGTAAAGAGATATATTGAGTCAATTACTAATATTAAACTGATCATTGTTTTGATTAGGTCTAAAATTGTCTTTGCATAGCTCAATATTATGTAGATAAATTACACGCCATTTCTGCGAAATTTTATTGAATCAAATAATACCGATTTTTATTTTTAAGAGCTTTGGATTGTCGACACCACATAATAGCAGTCAATGGTATGAGCAAGATCTAACAACGAAACGTATGATTCTTTTAATGTTCATGAGATATTATTCCAAATATAGGATAACAATATTTATTAATGCATGGTTAAAATATTTTTTTGGAAAATAGAGTCGGTCTTATTTTCATAAAATAGGAGCGATCACACCAAAAGCTTTACGATGTTTCCATCACATATACACCATAACTAATATAATCTTCATAAGATCAGGTTATGATGTGAGGTCGGTCCAAAACATCCTATTGATTATGAGCTCTCCTATTCATAACACTTCTTCAGCAATCTTTTAATTAACCATGTCGCCACTAATATATGGAGTATCCAAAATTTTATTACTTGTTAAGAAAAGTTGATATTTTGATATGACAATTACTTCGTTGGATATTATTACCAAGCCCTATTGAAAAATTCTTACATAACTAATTTTTTCTTAATAAATAAATAAAATAAAAATTATACAGGAAAATGTAAAAATCACTTATTTCATTAGAAAATAGTCCGGCCAGCGAAAGAGACATACGAAAATGAAACTGTTCAGTTAAGCTTTGAAGAAGCCAACAGTTTGAGTGGCGAGAGGTCAGCGAGTTTGAGATTTCCATACAGTGTCTCCTATAATGAACGCTACATATGGGGAATTACTTTATTTTTATGGGATGCTATTTTTTTAATGTGTGATCGCTCTAATTTATATTTATAAACTTTTTTTTTTTTTTTCAAATAACTTTTTTAGATGTTTGTTCACATAAAATAATTTGTATCGAATATTCTGGGGACAATGTATATCAGAAAACCACTAACCTCTTCAGTATTACCAATATCAGAAGATATTAAAATCTTCATATATAATTAACGCACAGATTCCTGTAACGTGCAAACACGTGAAATTGCATAATTTCTTTTAGAAACTAGGCAATCTAGGAGAAGCTTGAAAATCATCTGAAGGGTTCAGTCATTTTATTTTACTCTAAAACGAACGAAGCAACGTTCGTCGGATACGACGCAACTTCGAATCACAAGTTGCATGCCTCTAAGACAAATGCATAAAAAATAACATAATTTGAGTCTATGCATGTATCTAAATTAGAGGTTTGTATGCGATTCCGAAGGGAATGTTTCAGTTGGCAGTTGCTACCGTGCAATCATAGGAATATAGAGATTTATTAATACCGCATAGGCGTGGAAAGAAAAATATTCAATCAGGCATTAAGGTGTAGAACAATAGGAAAAAGTATTCTAATTATCCAATATTTCAATGAGCTTTAGCACGAATAAAATTTAGTAACTAACTAACTAACTAACTAATTAACTAACATAATCCACTAGGTTAAAGATCCAGAAGAAAATCGCCGAAACACCACTGGTCCAGCATATTGAAAATTCTGCCTGTGGCAAAGAAGCATATAAAACAGTGGTATTTGAGGAAAAAAAGCGTCGAAAATGGCTCCGCAAACGCGGTTACTTAAAAATGTTAGGCTCTTAATGATCCTTTTAGGGGTAGGGAGATTAGAAATACCAAATACTTCTAAGTTTCTACCTGTATGCTACAGGATTTATTCAGTTATAATACAGATATTTTACGCGACATTCGTTATTAATTTATCAGTGGAATTATTTATACTGTTTAAAACTGATATTCCAACAGGTAAGAGAGGCAAAATAAATTGTTATTGGACAAAAGTATAATTGAACGTAAAATCGGAATTTTTATTTCCTCAAAATTTTGAAATCAAATTAAAAAAAGCGCTCCTTTTTGGTTTTATGTTCATAACTTTTTAAACAATGGCGAAACTGAAGACTTATTTTAAAAATTTTCGTTTTTAATAGACTTGTCAACAAAAAATATTTACAATCTTAAATTTATGAATTATTTTTTTCAGAAGCTACATTTTTACTATTAAACGCGGTGCTCCTATTATTATCCTTTTTTTTTGTGACACATGGCTATAGCTACCGTTTTTGTTAGTTTAAAGTTTCGAAACTATTTCCAAATGGATGATAAAAAATACAAACTTTTGTTTAGTTCTTATAAGTAGAAAACTATTTACTAACTAACAAGACGAAATTAATTCGAAATATTTGAAGGGAGAATATATGGCAACAATCTTCGGAGGTACATGGAGCGCCTACAAACAGATCCGGTGTAAACAGTCTAAACAACTTACGTTTTTCCGTTTGACCGCTATTTGAATGAGTTTTTGTCGTAGAAATAAGTTTTTTTTAAGCAGTTACTATGTCATTTCTAATCTGTTGCTTATTTGTTTCTTAATTGCAGCCCTTGAAAATATGTCGAGATTTATCTTCGTCATCCTGTTGATAGTAAAAGTGGGAATGTGTCAAACTGAAAAAGTGGTCGAACTATTGAGACGTTCTCAGTTAGAAGAAGATGAAATAATTTGTCAAAAAGATTATCAAATATCGAAAGTTTATAAGATGCATGCACTATACGGCTTTAAAGTTAATCTTACACTTTCGGTCACTGCTGTCTCATCTGCAGTTACGTTGTGTATACTTGGTGAGTTTTTTTTGTTCAAATGATGATTTTATTTTGTTTGTTAGTTTTCTGATGTCCGCTGCCGTCCGGTACTTACACAAAATCAAATATAACGAATACAAACGACTTAAAAAAAGAAAGGAAACAAGAATAGGTACCTTTATTTTTAAAAAATCATCTCTTGTCAAAATTAATATTGATCAGTTAAAATTGTTTTATGCTTTGTAATTGTTGCCTATTTGAGATATTTCTTCTCTCCATATTTTTCTATAAACTTGCAGGTATTCAAGCGAGCTATCAGTTTTCTCGAGAACACGTAAATACGAACGACACTTCAGAAACAATCGACAAACCTCAACTGTTACCGCTGTGGTATCCAATTATAGACAAGAATAAACGTCACATGCTGGTTATGTCACACCAGATTGTTCAGACGCTCTTAACTAGTTTATTTAGTAGTTTGGTGCAAACTTTTACTAATTCATTACTGATTTTTCTTAGAGCCCGGTTACAGATTTTGCAAATTCGTTTTGCCAATTTTAATAGCATGCAAGTCGGCGAAACTTCTAACCATGGGGATAATATACCGCCGATGACATTAAAACAACTATGTGTAAATCATCAACAACTTATTTCGTGAGTATTACGCTAAATATGTAAAGTAAATGGGACACCTAGTTAGGGCGATGCAACTAACTAAAGTGACATACGGTTTATTAATATGTAGAGTTAAAACAAGGACCTATTTAGACAACCGTGATATTGATAATTGATAAAACCGTCTGCCAGTCTGGTTTTAAAATATTAGTTTTATTACAATTAAGCTATCCCAGAAATGGACGCTAAAATCGACTTGAACTAGGTACATTGTTTAGAAAAAAGATGTTGGAGAAAACAAGCCTTGTATAACATTTTAGTTCTATCAAAGAGTTAAACGACTCGTTGAAAGGTATACTGCTTCTAGAATGCAGTGTTACTTCTATTCTTCTTGCCGCTTTGCTGACACAGATACTATGGGTAAAAGTTGTTTCATTATTAAGTTACTAAAATTACAATTTTCTGATGATTTTAGCGGAGATATCTAGCATTCAATGTGGTATATTTTTTGCTAGTTGTGCTTCAAATAATGGCATTATCATACAATTCTAACGAAATTGTCGTTCAGGTAATGAGATTTATTAAAATAGGAAAGTAGAGAGAATTTATCTCCTGTTTACACTATTCATTAGAGTTCGCAATTATCCAACGCCTTATATGAAAGTAACTGGTATACCCACGGACGAAAATTGCAATCCTTGCTTTTGGTGATGATGATGCGATGTCAGAAACCACTGGTACTAACTGTGGGCCCACTTGGACCCATGACTACTCAAGTTGGGGTTTCGGTAAGGATTAAGTTAGCATTACTTTAAAGAAATTAATAGTTTTGTTCACATGGGTGTTCGCGTAATAGTTACGGTCGTGTCCATAAAATAATTAGAATAGTATTAAAATCAATGATAACAAAGTACCTGAAAATTTAAAAATCGTATTCGTCTTGCAAAAAAACGAGAACGCCGATGTTTTGAAGTTTCCACATAAAAAAATTAACAGGTTTTTTTGCGATTTATAAATACTTCTTTTTTCCAGATTGTCAAGCTAGCGTATTCTTATTTTTCAGTAATGTCGTCTTAATAACTTGGATCTAATGTTGAGTTTTTAAATAAACAATTAATATTAACCGTGTTTTATTAAAATGTCTTTACATATTAATCAAATACTTTATAATGCGAAGGACTGGGCTTTCTAAATAAAAAAAATCAAAATAAAATAGTTTCGAGGTTACGTAAGAGAAAGTGTGCCCTAAAAATACTGCAAAAAACATATCGGAAAGTTTATCTTCTAAATATTTTATAAAATTTATTTTTTCAATTTGATGTCAAAACGACATGCCACGTATATTTTTTGTTTAAATTAACACTTCTCCTAATTCTCAGTTTATAGATATTACTAAAAAACGACGGAATTGCTTTACTTATCTTTGTGTTTTGATATTTGACCGTCGGTAGTTACTAAAATCAATCTCGTTTAAAAACGTTTGATCGCGATTTTCGTGGTACTACGGAGGAATACAGATATTGGTTTCAGTTGGTTGAAATTCCAAACAAATATATATTTGGCGTCTAATCATTTATTTATAAGCTACTATCAATCTTTTATTGTAATTTCGTATTGGGGACTTTATTATGATAGATTGCTAGTTTCGTTTGCCTTGAATAGATATTCGTCCAACTATTTAGAAGTTTATTCCGTATTCACCCGTAATATGCTAATAATTTTAGTTAATTGAGGTGTATGAGATCCGGTCATTGAAAGTAGAAAACTTCAAGCAAGACAATGCACTTTTTATTTTTATTTTTTGATATAAACTATATAATTTGCGCCTAATTGAAATATTAATAATATAATAATATGTTATTGAAATTACTAAAACATCAAGCTGAAGCGACGTTAACTGACTGAAGCTATAAAATCAGCTTATCATACAGTTATCTCATTTGTCAATTACCAGCCAATTATGTCAGTACTCGTATACCATACAGATGGCATCCGTTGTTTGATATTCTGATAACAATTACTATACATTAATAAAAAAAAAATCAGCCTGGTGTTAAAAAGCCTCGCAACAATGTTATTCTGCCAAAGGAAATATCCTGCTGTAAATAATGAGATTGTTAAACAAAATATTTATAAAAAAGAAAAATAAGCCAAGCATTTATGATTGTTTCAATCCAGTGTTAACAATATCAGCATTTGGAGGTGTTTGTACGCTAAAAAATAAAAATGGTAGCTACTCGACAAGCCAGGGATTGGTAATATTTCATGTTCTAGTTATTGTATTGAATGTGATCCAATTGTTTTTTATTCCCCATGTTATAATTGCTATGGAACAAGTAAGTTTTCTCTCATTGCTATAATAATTTTTAAAATTTCATATTGTATAACACTGCGATGTAAAATTACTTTCTGAAGCAATTGTAAATTTTCATGTCTGTTATTTACTATTTTTTATAATCCAGTATAAATTGTATAGAAATTCACTGCATTCTAGTTAATTGTGAGTACTATATTATCATAGAAAACTCTGGTCGTTTAGAATTACTCGGGAACAAAAAAAACAGACAAATGCTCTTCACTAATTAGTTTCTTCACTTGTTTTAGGTTTCTAAAAGTAAGATAGAATCGAATATATCACAAATCGAAATCGATTCTAATGATCGCAGAATTCATATTGCCACGCAAATAGCCAATCCGCTCATAGTGTCGGGAGGCGTCTTGATACTAAGGCTAATGAACATGACGCTAATAGGCCAATTCTTACCAAATATTTTTCAAAGAATCAACAACATACAGGACATTATGTGCATTAAGGATATTAACGAAAAAGATTATACTCACATGAAAATTATAATTACCTTGATGGTGACGATATCCGTACCATTCCAGATATACTATTTGATCGCAATTATTCCGAATAACTGGATTTCTTTAGTTATGTTTGGATTCAATTTTTACAATAGTTTTTCCGCAACGTGCTTAGAGTTTCAGTTCACTCACGTGTGTCTCATTTTGAGAAATAGATTTAAACTTATAAATAGTTGCATGAACCGTTTCAAGAATGGTAAGTTAATAGTGCCAATGATAGGGGTGTGTGAGGATAAAATTATCTTTTAGAAAAGTATGCACTCAAGAGCTCGCGCTTAAGAGAAGATGAATTGTTCATCATTCAGACAGTAAATCGTGATCGATACATATCAAAAATAATTGACATGAGAACATGTCATCAAAAACTTTCTGAATGCTGCAGAGACCTCAATAAGCTATTTGGAGCTCAGCTTTTAATAACTTTATGTTGTTGTGGTGTGAGCGCATTACTAAACTTTTATTTCGCTATATTTGGCGGTTTTGGACAAACTTCTTTAATTGCAGCCGCACATCAGGAAAGTCGCACTTGGGCTGATGTCTTTTGGGCACTATACTTTCTTTTGAGATTCCTTGACGTGTGTGGAGCAGCAGAGTTTCTTTGCCGTGAGGTACGTATTTTATTATTCTCTCTCATCGAGGAAAATTTAGTTAAGGAACCCATAAACGTAATTAATTGAATTTATCAATTTATCTCCGTTAAATACTAAGTGAGATATGAAAAATAAAAGAAAATTGAAAATACTTTTTACAAAACTTCTAGATTCCTGCTGCGTCGGTTTTTGCTGAATCGAACTTGCTAACGTTTCGTCAATCATCCTGTTGGCTTCTTCAGAACTTGACTGAGCCTGGCTCGCATTTTACTCTGTAACTGCTTATGTATTGTTTGAGGGGGGCGGAGCTAAATGAGGGGCATAAACACCCGAAAGCAATCCTACACTTGCCACTGTGGTCCTTCCTTACCATCAAAACATCACTGACCACATATCAAAGGAAATATGATGCCAAACCAGATTTATTACTTGGCCAAAAATATGTCAACATATTCGATCCGTCAAAGACAAAATTCCATATGAGATGCCAGGAGTTTACAGCATTCCGCGCATATGCGTCAAAGAATATATTGGAGAGACCGGACGAAAAATACCAACTAGGCTCAAAGACCACGAAAGAGGCTTAAGACTAAGACAAATAAACTTATCAGCAGTTGCCGAACACAATCACGAAAACGGACATAAAATTTTATTCGATAAAACTAAAATTCTTGAATGTAATCACTTCTTCTACCAACGAAAAATCCGAGAGTCTATAGAAATCTGTAACCAACCTAACAATCTTAACCGCGACTCATGGCTTTACCTGTCACCAATATGGGAATGAGTCATCTTAGAGGCTGTTTATGCCCCTCATTTAGCTTTTTAGCACCTCAAACAATTTATAAGCATAGTATAGCATATATAAACATAGTAAAATGAGAGCCGGTTTCAGTCAAGCTCTGAAGAACTGACCAGATTTAATCCAGAAGTTTTTTAAAAAGTATTGCATTAGCCTGTGGAAGTTTCTTTGTAAAATTGAAATTGAAAATATTTAAAGTTTCAAAAATAGTATTACCACATATATAATACAATAATAAAGCTGTGAATGTGAAAAACCTTTAAGTAATATTTCAAAGAAACTTCCACACACTAGTGTAATACCATTTGCAAATCTTCGGGATTTCTTCTACGCCGGTTATTGATGAATCGAACATGCTGACGTGTCGCCAATCATCCTGTTGGATTCTTCAGTGCTAATCTGAGACTGAAAATGAGAACTGAACTTTAACTGAGTCTTCAGTTTCAGTTTCAGTTAAGCTCTGAAGAAGCTAACAGGATGATGTGCGCAACATCAGCAAGTCGATTCATCAGTAACCGACACAGGAGGAATACGGAAGATTTATAAATAGTACATTTAATTCATAATTTGGGAATCTCTAGTCAAATTTTTGCTTGTACATCAGCAGGACATTTGTAAATACTTTTTCGCATTATATTTGTCCATTGTTTATATATTAATCCTTGTGTTCCAGACAGATCGTACGAAATCAATAATTTCAGAGCTCTTACATGAGTGTCGGAACAACAGAGTTAAAGAAGAGGCAAGTTAATACTCGTATATGAATATATCAGAAATTTTGATGAATTATGTAAGGGTTGGATACGCCACCAATAGTTAAATTTTTACAGCTAAAATTAAGTAGTATAAAAGTATAACTCATTTAAATATAAGCAAAACATATGTATTGTGCACATCTTCTTTCGGATATCTCGAAATCTTCTTTCGGATATCTGGAAAAAAGTGGCTAGGGATTTTTCAAGAATTTTGGGTTATCTCGATTATTTATTTATTTCACAGAATTTAAAATTTGCCTTCCCGTTTTAATAATTTGGTGGAGGAATGAGATTTATAAAATTTGCGAAGTAAAAATCAAATAATAACCAAGAAACACATTTATAATTTCAGCAATAAATCGTGTTTCATTCGTTTACTCCATTTAAAGAATAATCTGGAGAGCTACATTTAGGATTACATTTTGTATCTTTGTATCAAATTTTTGGAATATAGTCTAGACGAAATTCTTCTGAGATTGCATCATCCTGAAAATACCAAGATATATTCGCATCCTTCTGAAAGCTTCCAGTTCTTTCATTAAATTCTTCAAAAAAAAGAAATAACCATAACTGGTTTATTCAACCTGGTGAATAGAGATGGATGAAATGGATGCCAATGGACTATGTTCACGATTTCTTTTAGCATTGATGATGATGATGATGAATGAGAGATTTGTAAGATTTATTACAACTTGTTATAAAACTTCTCAAGCTGGAAATTAATATGCCAATTATAGTCTAGCCACATGGTGATCCATTTAAGAAAAAAAGTTAAATACAAAAAGTGTTTGATCCTACGTATATATTTTATTTAAAGTATTTTTGTGTATACAGGGTGTTTTGTTGTGTCAGGACAGTAATTAACTTTATTTTTTTAATGAAATGCTATTAATATCTTTAAAATTTCTATTGATTCGCTTGATTTTGAGTATTTTTTGTCATTGCGAAATTTTGAGTAGTTTTCGCGAAATATGAACTTTTCCATTTTTTTTAGGGGAAAACTGGTCCTTGGAAAATGTGTTCTTGCACTTGAAAACTAAATTTGGGAATTTTTATTATGGATCCATGAAAGTGGTTAATATTTAATCCATTGACAAAAATATGTTATACCGGGAGGTTACAAATGACCATCAAAAAAATAATTTGTCCAATTAAAAAAACTGTTTTTAATAGAAAACCCCGTATTTGACACTTTTATTGAGTTTGGGATTAATGCTGTATCGTTTCATATTTATAACTTTTATTACAAAAATTGCTAGTTTGTAATTTTCTGCAACAACTCGTAAATAATATCTTATTCTACCTAAGTTTTTTTTCAAATATTAATTAATTAAGTTCAATATTAAATCAACAAGTATATATATATATATATATATATATATATATATATATATATATATATATATATATATATATATATATATATATATATATATATATATATATATATATATATATATATATATATATATATATATATATATTATATATATATATATATATATATATATATATATATATATATATATATATATATATATATATATATATATATATATATATATACAGGGTTTTTCACTTAAAACTCCGCACGCCAATAACTCCAAAACGAAAAGAAATATTTAATTTATGTAAAAAGTAGTCAAAGTGTGGGATCAAGTAGATATTTCCTAAAGTTTAAAAAATTCTACGCCTGCAAAGAGCTGGGCGTCGCGACGCGTCGAAATATTATTCGATTGCAGAGACTTTGGAAATACGCGCATACAAAAGTACATATTATTTAAAAACTTTTTTGTTATTTACTCAAACTTATTTACTTTACCCGTTTCTAAGTTATACCGATTTAAACTAAACATTTCTTATTTTTACATAATGCCCAAATACTAACGAGGTATTTGAACCGAGAATATCCCAATAGATGGTTTGGTACTAATGGACCGGTAAGGTGGCCGGCGAGGTCCCCGGACATTACACCACCAGATTATTTTCTTTGGGGCTACCTAAAAAACGTTATCTATGAAGAACCTATCGAAGATATGGCTGATCTCGTTAACAAAATTAGTGCAGCGTGTGCCGCTATCACAAGAAGGACTCTCCTACAAGTGACCCAAGCTCATCTGTTAAAAGTTTTTGATAGTTGCGTTCGAGCAGATGGACATAATTTTGAACAAAATTTTTGAAATGTCTTATTATGTAGTTAATTGCAATAATAATTTTGGTTATTAACTTGTAGGTATTTTACTGTTTTTTTCATTTATTTATCATGTTATCAGAACTAAATCGATAAAAAATAATAAATAAAATCATACTAAAATAGTTGAAATCTATTGTTTGTAATTGCATTTAAAACAACTGCGATAAAAATGGTTGCCATAGTAACTAACATGCATGGCATACTTGTAAAAATAAGCGTTAATCACATTTTTTATTAATCAAGGAATGTTTACTTTAAATCGGTATAACTTAGAAACGGGTAAAGTAAATAAGTTTGAGTAAATAACAAAGAAGTTTTTAAATAATATGTACTTTTGTATGCACGTATTTCCAAAGTCCCTGCAATCGAATAATTTTTCGACGCGTCGCGACGCCCAGCTCTTTGCAGGCGTCGAATTTTTTAAACTTTAGGAAATATCTACTTGACCCCACACTTTGACTACTTTTTACATAAATTAAATATTTCTTTTCGTTTTGGACTTATTGGCGTGCGGAGTTTTAAGTGAAAAACCCTGTATATATATATATATATATATATATATATATATATATATATATATATATATATATATATATATATATATATATATATATAGGGTTTTTTACAGCTGTCGCTGTCTCCCTTCTCTCAACCTACGCCTCCATCCATCTCTGTCTTGCCATTCATACCTCTTTTTTCCATAGATTCATCTACTTCATCCCTCCAAGATCTTCTGGGTCTACCCCTTTTCCTTCTACCTACGGGGCTCCATTCTGTTATCTTGTGTATCCACCTATTTGCTGTCCGTTCTTCTTACATGCCCATACCATACCAATCTCTTTTCTTCAATCAATGTTAAGGTATCTTTCTTGACACCCATTCGCTGCCTGATCTCCTCGTTTCTTACTTTGTCTATTCTCGAAATTCTACAACTTCTCCTCCAGTATTCCATTTCAGTGGCCTGTATTTTACTTTTGTATTTTTTGTTGATCACCCAGTTTTCCGCGACGTATGTCATTTCGCTCTGTACTATGGTGTTAAATATATGTGATTTGGTGTGTCGAGTGATGTGTCTATCCCAGAGTATTGGATTTAGTTGTCTGATACAGTTTCGCGTCTGGCCTAGTCTACTGTTCATTTCTTCCTCTGTTATCCCTTTTTGAGATATTATGAAACCTAAGTATTTGAAATTTTTGGTTCTCTTTATTTGATGATTTTCATCGGCTTGTAGGTAGTTTTCTCCATCTTCTGTTGTTGCCAGGTATTCCGTTTTCGAAAAATTTATTTCCATTCCATTTTTTTCATATTCTTCCTTCAGTTTTCGTAACATGTAACTTAGGTCTTCTTCGTCTTGTGCGAGTACAACTTGGTCGTCTGCGAAATTTAATGTGTAAAGACAGTCGCCTCTGATTGGAATTCCCATTTGTTCACATTTTTTCTTCCATGGTTTTAAGATCTCCTCTAGAAATATTTTAAACAATGTTGGTGATGTGGAGCATCCTTGTAGCAGTCCTTTTGTTGTTTTAAAGCTTTTTGAGAGTCTATCTTCGATTTTTATAGATATTTGGTTTCCTTCAAACATTTTTTTAACGGTCTCTATTAATTTTTTGTGGCAATCCGATGGTCTTCATTGCCTTCCATAGTATCCCCCTGGGTATGGTGTCGTATGCTTTTTTTAGGTCTATAAAGGCTAAGTGAACCGCTCTATTTTTAGCCATTTTCTTCTCTATCATTTGTTGTAATGAATATATGTGGTCTATACAAGATCGACCCGCCGTAAAACCTGTTTGTTCTTCTCCAATTTTGCCTTTTATTTCTATTTCTAGTTTTGCCTTTACGAGTTTTCCATATAGTCTTCCCATAGATGATATTACGCTAATTCCTTTGTAATTTTCGCATGGTCGCCTTTTTAGAATATCGATGTCATATATGCAGTTGTCCACTCTTTTGGTAGTTGTTCTCCATTTATTGCTCTTAGAAACATTTGGTGTATCATTCGGTATAGTTTTTCTGATCCGTATTTTATTAGTTCAGGAACAATGCCTCCTGGGCAGGCAGCTTTATTATTCTTCATATTTTTAATGGCCATTTTTACTTCTTCTAAGCTAAGATCTATATCCTTTTGTTCGTCTGATGTTGTCTCCGAGTTTTCTCCAATAAAAGTAGGTCTATCCTCTGTTAGCAGTTTTTTGTAGTATATTTCCCACATAGTATCTGGTATGTATTCTAGATGTACTTTCTCTTTCCTATTGGTTCTAAGAGATTTAATTAGACGCCAGGATTTTGAATTACGCGTTCCTCCTATATATTGTTCCACATTTTTGCAGGCCTCTTCCCATTTGTTGTTCTTTTCTTTCTGTACTATTCTTTTGACTTCTCGATTTTTCTTTCGGTATATCTCTCTATCTTCATCTGTTTTTGTATTTAACCACTTCATATAAAGTTCCTTCTTTTCATTTATGATTTCCGTTAGGTCTTTATTAATGTCTATTTTATGTTGATTTTGTGATTCTTCCTTCTCTCCGAGAGCTTCAGTAGCTACTTCTTTGATGCATGTTTTTATGTGCTCGTATGTTGTCCCTAGGTCGTCGAGGCTGAATTCTTCCAGTTTTTGGTCTATTCTTCGCTGATATAAGTACCGTATTGACTTATCGTGTAAAAGCTGTATATTGAACTTTTGTTCTTTTTGTTTATGTTCAAATGCTATTTCTTTTTTGATTCACGTTTGTTCCATGACCAGGGGAACTCCATTTTCGCGATCAATAACCTGTGGTCTGTGCCGCATTCTGCACCTCGTTTCACTAGGACATCTTTTATTTTAATTGATGAGTTGTTTTTGACTACAATATAATCTATAATTGATCTGAGATCTCTGGTTTCTTGTACCCAAGTGAATTTATGAATTTCCTTGTGTCGGTAGAAACCATTTGTAATCTTGAGATTATTAAATTCGCATAGTTCGATTAGAGCCTCTCCGTTGGTATTAACCGTATCTTCTCCGAATCTACCTATTATGGCATCGTTTTCTTTTCTTCCTGTTCTTCCATTGAAGTCTCCTGCTATTATGAGTTCTTGATTTTATTTAATTTTATCAATTTCTTCTTGTATCGTTTGTATGAAGCTTGTCTTTTCGATTAGTGCACTATCTTCCGTTGGTCCATATACCCGATTACTATTATGTGTCTTCCAAAAACTACGATATCTATTTTAATAACTCTATCATTTATTGGTTCTAAGCTTTTTATACATTTTATCCATTTCTTTTTTATTGAGATACCGATTGCGGCATTTGCTCTTTCCTCTTTTTTAACTCCGCTCCAGCAATAAAAGACATCATCTCTAATTTCTGTTCCATTTCCTTTTTTCTTGGTTTGGCTCACCACTAGTATGTCCAGTTCCGTTGTTTTAAGTACATCTATTACCTCCTTGCCTTTGGTTCTCCATCCTTGGATATTCCAGGTACCGAAAATTAGTTTTCTATTATCTGTTTTTTGTTTTTGTTTTTGTTTACGTTGGTTGAGATTTAAGACTGGGTTTCGTACACGATCAGCAGGTTTGCCCCCCCCCCGTATCCGTTGGGGCTCCCTCTTCTGTCTAAAAGTCCATTGGAGGTGTGGATTACCACCCGGGGAAAAATTCCGTGGTTTTTCATCCTGCTTCTAGTCTATTTGACCCTTTATATTTTTACATGTGCCAGGGAGCTTAAACCTGACGCCATAACCCCCATTTGGAGGGCCTTTTTCTTCAGCCGCCCATTCTGGGAACCGTCGCTGTTTGCAGCCGCCCATTGTGAGTCCGACGCTGCGGTGGTGCTTGTTGGTCCGCGGGAGGTATTTGATTTCCCTCCAACCACCCATATCTGGGAGGCCTTCCCCTATCCGCCACCTGGAGACGCGCTCTCTAGGAGTTGCAAGCTCTCTCAACAAGTAATGGAAGTAAATAGAAGTTATTACTAATTACAAAACATTTTCCACATAACCGCCATATTTAGCAATGCAAGTAATATATGTGGTTTCGCGTCTGTTGCAGTAAGTCTTTCTACCACTTGCCGAATTCTCATTTTTATATCTTGAACACTATTACACCTATTTTTATGCACCCCCTAAAAAAAAGTGCAGGGGTGACAAGTCAGGCCTCCTCGGTGATCAATCCTGTAAAACAATTTCAAACAGGGACTCCGGTATGATATGGCGCACTAACTTGTTGAAAATCATATCGTAAACACATAATACATTATTATGGTCCCGCAAATTATCAATTAATGGAAATATATACGTGTCCAACAAATTTTAATATCTCTCACCATTAAGAACAAAGTCATAAAATAATGGGTCTATTATTCGATCACGTATAATGTCACATCACACATAAAAAGTTCTCCGACCCTGTTTTTCAATTTATTTTAAATGATTTTCATTTGAGATACTCCAGTAAGAACTACTTTTTCGGTGGGACATACCGGCCTTATTGAAAATGGCCTTATTAAATTTTAAAGGGTTTTAAACAGTGGTCTTGGATCTTGGGATGCATCTTTTTACCCATCCCCGTTGTTTCCTTCAAAATGCAGCACTTCTAAATGCTTCTTTTCTGTTAAGACAATCTTCGGATGGCGTATTTAATTATTCACTAACACTTCACGTTCAAGATCACGAACAATGCGTCAAAAAATTGTTTCGGATACAACAACTTACATTCTCATAGGGCTAATGCTGGACTCTTATTATTTGTTACGTAACATTCATAAAGAAGTGTAAAAAGCCATTTTTTCTTTAAAAAATAGTTGTTGGCAACTAAATGTCAAATGAAAACTGGGTATTTCTGTTTGGGCAATAATTTTATTAGTTTTTACAAAACTTCTGGATTCCTCCTGCATCGGTTTTTTCTGAGTTGAAATTGCTGACGTTTCGCTCATCATCCCGTTGGATTCTTTAGCGCTTATCTGAAACTGAAACTGAGAACTCAACTGAGTTTTCAGTTTCAGTTTCAGTTAAGCCCTGAAGAAGCTAACAGAATGATTGGCGCAACATCCCCAACTTCGATTCATTAATAACCGACACAGGAAGAATCCAGAAGTTTTGTAAAAAGTATAACAGTAGCTTGTGGAAGTTTCTTTGAAAAATTTTATTAGTTCCGGATATCTTGAAAAGACGAGGTCAGAAATGCTATTGCGGAAACTGAAACCATACTACATGTTTACGGGGGTTAGAAAACGTTTTGTAATTAGTAATAAGTTCTATTTACTTGCGTTACTTGTATACGGGTTTAGTTAGATTTAAAATAAAATACACGAGTGGTTGCAGAAAATTCGTCGTAACCCAAACTCAATAAAAGTGAAAAAAAATTAATTAGAAAAAAACATTTTTTTGATGATCATTTGTGACCACTGCGTATAATATATTTTCGCCATTGATAGGTCAAAGCATTAAATATTATTCACATCCATGGATCCATAATAAATATTCCCAATTTTATTTTTCAAGTGTAAAATCGCATTTTTCCAAATACATGTTTTTTTTTTCGAAAAAAAAAATCGAAAGCTTGATTTTTCAAAAAAACTACTGAAAATTTCGTGTGCCATGTAATAATAAAAAATACTTAAAATCAAGCGAATGGCACCACGGAACACCCTGTATACATAAAAATGTTATAAGTATAATATATACTTGGGGTCAAACACTTATTGTATTTAATTTTTTCCCTCAGTGCCGTGCTTATTGAGATAAGGTATAGGAGTATCTTAAATGCATCACCCTGTACGGTATTGAGAAGCTTGTGCATATATATATATATATATATATATATATATATATATATATATATATATATATATATATATATATATATATATATATATATATATATATATATATATATATATATATATATATATATATATATATATATATATATATATATATATATATATATATAAATGGAAATTCTTCTGGCGTTTTTTTTTTTGGATTCGTGAAAAAATAAATAAATAACCGAGATAACTTATGAAGTATGAGAACAAAACCCCATATAATGTTTTTTATTTATAGTTGTGGACATTTCACACTAACAATGCAGCAAGCAAAGTAACCTTTACTGCTTTCGGATTTTTTAGTATAGATTTTCGTCTGGTGTCATCGGTAAGTTAATAGAAAAATATTTAATTTAAATATTTCTTGCTTTAAACTTTTAGGCAATTGCTACTGGTACAACATACCTGGTTATCTTAGCACAGTTTCACAGTAGCGCATCTGGTTAAAAAAAATTATTTCTTATTCAAATTCTTTAACTTTTATTTATTCTTTTCATATAAACAACTGGCAAATCTTAGACGAACATATCGTTCAATGACTAAATTGTCATAAATTTATAATTTGTAGGTTTCCTTTACTTTGATAAGGTGAACATACCGCAATTATATACATCATTTAATTTACAACATATTTGTGAATTGTTTCGAAATCTATATATCTGGTCTATCTACGAAAATATATTACGATCTAGTTTATGAGAATAAACTTTTGACGGCGACATTTTAAATATGAAACATTTTATAAGAGAAAGTTGACATTTCTGTTTTTATAGTAAAATAAATAAAATTAATAAATTAAAAAAAGGTTTCGTTTGTTTTTTCAGTACCGTTCCGGTATGAAATACATTAAAATACAATACATTAAAATACAAAGCTCATCAGTATAAGACACACACATTTTCAAGCGGTTTTAACAAACCAACGAATCACAAAAGCGAATATTAGCCAAATGTAATATTTAATTCAAATTATAATCAGTTGAAATTGAACTTTGAAGCAATAAACTGACGAATCACAAAGGCGAATATTAGTCAAATATGCTCTTAAATTATAAATAATAGTTGAAAGTGAAGCATGAAGAAATTTGTATGACCAATAATTGTAATACTACACATGCAATCTCCTTATAATTAATACCCTCGTGAATGAAACAATTATATATCCATTGTATAAAAACTAGACAATAAGGAAGAACCTAAATATGTATAATAAATAAATGTATAAATTTAACTTCAAATTTGAATTTGTCACAATGCTGGTGATTACATTGAATATCAAAATTATTAAAACTGAAACACGAAATGATCACAAAATGGCGAATGCGCAAGAAAATAAGAACAATGGTCGCCTGCGGATAACAACTTTTCAGTTCGTTGTGCAAAATGTATTAGACATTGCTAGAAACTCAAAAAAAAGTCCCATTTTGTCGTCTATCATTTCGTTCTATATTAAAATTTAAATAAAATAAACTATGTGCACTTGGGATGATTGTTACACGATTAAACGCGAAAAAATCCAAATACAAGTCCACAAGAGAGCAAAACTTTTAACACTTTTAACGCTCGCTTTACTGAGCACTATTCTTCGACCCCTTGGCGAAGTATACCATTGATGCAAGTCAGACAGTTCTCCATATCCATGCTGATTTTTCGTCTGTACTAAGCATTCATATGCTGAATCTGCTTGGAGATTGTGCAGGCGATACCATTGCGTTCTTTCGCTTGTAGAGACGCTGAACGTTTGACTAGGCTTAACAAGCAAATCGTGCCATTGCCCGGGATGATGGTATGAGTTGTTAATCTGCATTAAAAATAAGAAAGAAACTCTTAAACTACATGGCCCGATTTAAATCAATTTCTATTGAAGAACTTTGACGTGAAAAACTTGTACGTACTGGAAAATCGTATAAACTGTGTTTGGGAAAATAAAAAATTGTACCAGAATCCCGCATGATGCAAAAGAGATATTTTTTACGCCCACACCTGACACCATTAGAAACTCACCGTGACTTAATCATTTTAGTAAGCTCAAGTCGACATGAATAATTTAAAATGAATACAGTTAACGGATCGCCATATATTTTCATTAACCAACCACTGTTAGACGACTTTACAAAACTCACCAATTTCTCTTACCTGTAAGAGTTAATTAAGCGCTATAAATAATTCGTTGGTTAAGGCTTTCGCGGCCCGTTGATAAGCTATTATCTTCATTCGGGTTTAAAGGCCGTCGTCGATTGGAATTACTTCCTAACGTTTCGCTAGCACGAATGGCGAGCTTCTTCAGAGGTCCTTCCATCTCCGATGTTGGACGTAGACGTTAGGAAGTAATTCCAATCGACGACGGCCTTTAAACCCGAATGAAGATAATAGCTTAAATAATTCGTTGTTTATAATTTAATAAAATTTAGCATAGAAAAAAAAGTGTAGTCAAGTGTGTGCAACCTGATAATCTGAAGTTATCAGTGAGTGAATGTTCCTCTTAAATTTCAGTTGCATAAGGCTTAAAATAACAGAGATAACACCTGTTGTTTACTATTTGTCTTATAGGTACAGGGCGATGCATTGCCGAATTATTTTTTTAAATAGTTTTTATAGCAAACAAAAGTAAAATACATTTTTACAATGACAACACGAAAATTCCTGACAGTGCCAATATTTTTACTTGTGATTGTTATAAGTTATTGAACGAGCTTCAATTCAATTCAATTGAAGAATGGGTATGGTCTGTTCATAGAAAAAAGAAAGTGACCAATTGCTTTTGAATGGGATTATCAAAGGGTTGTCATTAACATACAATACAACAAGATTATTACCTAAAGTTTCGGAATTTAAATTCAGGTAAAATTGTGGTACGTGATAGAAAATAATTTTATACCTACCTGTGTTTAATATTTTTTGGTTTGGTATACTACTTAGCTTAATTTTATTAGTAATCATTCTTATTTCCTGTGTAATACAGCGTGTGTTAAATCGTGTGCGAATTATGCAAAATATGTGCGAGTCTAGTGTCAAATGTAAAAAACACATTCTATTGAGGCTAAGGAAGTTATAAACAATGTTTATTTGACTCTCATTGAACGATGAAAGATTCTTCTCTGGATTACCATGAAAACACCACCGCTGATTTATTTGAAAGTTGTGCGAGTCTAGTGTCAAATGTAGAAAACACTATTCTATTGAGACTAAGGAAGTTATAAACAATGTTTATTTGACACTCATTTAACGATGAAAGATTCTTCTCTGGATTACCATGAAGACACCACCGCTGATTTATTTGAAAGTTGGTTTAAAAACAAACTAGTTCCAAACATTCTTCCTAAGAGCGTCATTGTAATAGACAATGCAAGTTACCAAAGTAGACAGTTGACTAAAACCAGTTCCTCATGTGACACAAAAGCAACAATTATACCAAGTAAGCAAAGAATATACCAAAAAGCAATTAATTGAGGTTCTACAAAGCTTGAACCTATAAAAGGAATACGTCTGTGATAATTATGCAAAAAATCTAGGGCATACAGTTTTAATTCTTCCACCTTACCACTGTATATTTAATCCCATTGAACATGTTTGGCACCAACTGAAATCTGCCATTCGTCGTAACAATGTTTTTCCCCGTGTTAACTCCAGTGTCCTCAAACTTATAGAAACCCAAGTTTTTAACATCCCTCCACAAAGTTGGGCAAATTTTGTTAAACATATAGAAAAAGCAGAACAATCGTATATCCATATTGCAATAATATAGAAATAGATAGTGACACTGATATATAATATGAATAATTTTAAGTAATTTAAGTAGGTAATAAAAATAATTTGTAATTTTATTTTAGATTTAAACATAAATACATACATAAATAAATAAATATTGTCTGGTATCTTTCCTAACAAAACCCCAAATAATTAAATTCTAAGGAAAGTACGGACCCGTACGGCCATATTTCATTCTTACAGCTTGCCCAGGTCTTTCCTTAATTCGTATCAGTTAGTCACTTTCTTATATCTATGAACAGACTTTAACAATAATCAAGTGATATTATGCAGGAAAAAATCTTAAAGCACTTTATGAAATGTGTTCAGTTTATTTTCGTGTTAAAACTATACCTTTGATTTATTACCCAAATCGAGTTCACAGGCACCGTAATAAATGTTCATCTAAAAATGTCGATAATAGAACAGAAAAAAGAGATTTGAATATTTTACTGCACGTGGAGGAAAACAAAACACACAAATATTTTTCCAATAAATACGAGAAGCACCAAGAGTTCCGGGAAGGCGATGAAGAAAGAAGAATTTGGCATTTTGTTTTGAAATAATGGAAAAAGAAAATATAGATAAGGATTTTCTTTAAAATATTTATTTTACTGAGGAATGTACATTCGCACTCATCAACGATCCAAATGTTCAAAACTGTCAATATTGGACCCAAGAGAGTGAATATTGTTTTGTTCATACTCGAAGGCCATTTTTTACAGACTATAACCTCACAGCAGAAAACTATTTGGACTTATATCAGATACGGGAGGATTTGGGAAATAATTTTAATGGGAATATTATTGGCCCAAGGTTCCGATCCTTTGAATACCCAGGACACCTGAGTTCTCGCCGAATGACTCCTTTCTATCGGGTCCCTTGAAAAGTGTTATCTATAAATATGTTAAATTTGAAAATCCTAACCAATTACAAAACGCTATTTGCTTGGATTTCACAATATGAACTAAGCAATGTAAGAAATGAAATTTATGATCTCTTATAATATTCTTTAAGTGTTGTGGAGGGTTTTTTGAATTTTTGAATATTGAAATAATGTTTGTTTGTTTGTGTCTTGTGTGAGAATGATCCTAAGAAAAACCTAATGATATACCTACATACATAGTCTATTTTGTGTGTGTTGTGTGCACCTCTTTATTGTAAACGAACCTTTATTTGATATGCCATTTTGCCATCATATTTAATTCAATAAGTGAAGATCGGTTTATTAAAATTTATTCAAACTCGGCACATGAGTGAATTATACCGGGCCCTTCAAACAGTTATATTACAACTTTGCTATAAAATGTACAGAGGAGGCAATATAAGGGCACCTAAAAAATTTAATGGAATTTAGTATATTTTTTTCGGCAATGGATCACCCGGTATATTAAGCATAGCAGTGTGAGAACAGTATTGAAATACAGAGTAGACAGACGAAGTAATTTAGTAAGAAGTGAAATGCCAGTTTAGATGATATGAGAGTCATAGTAGTGTTGTACTTCAATTGTAAAGGAGCTAATGTGTTTAAATAACCTTAGTTTGTGTTTAACTGTAGTCTTAAGGTGGCTTGAATTAATCGAACTTTGGTTAATATTTATGGCTATATAGAGCTTAAAAAGATTTTACGACTTCACACATTAATTTATAATTTGATTAAATCTTTTCAGCTTACCATAACTTTTCTATATAATATCCTCACTTCGACAATGGGAAAGACCGATTGCACAACCCATTTTAAATCGTGCTCATGAGGGTTGGAATACTGCGGGCTAATAATTTTCGGGGGACCCGGCTTTCCCGAAAGTTCTATGTACCTACAAAGTAAACTTAAAATATTAGAGGACGGTAATCTTCGAATGTCATAGTGTAAAATTTTGATTTTCATGCAATACCAGAAAGTGACACAAAGACTGGATGCGTTTTGAGTACCTCTTATCGCGTCCTATAGAGTTAGATACGAGGCAGCTGTAGTTTCCGAAATCAGAGAGTTGTACATTTTTGATTGTCAACGTATGGGTCTGACTATTTTTCGACATAATTCGCCTGTCCGTGGGTTGAAGTTGAAATGAATCTTGATACCAGGTAACCTAAAAAATTAAATATTACTACCATAATAACGCCTTCATTAAATTCAAATGGAATCATGTTTCATATAATGATAATTTTCTTTAACAACTTATTTTACCCCTTTCAAAACTACACAAGGATATATTAAAGCAGATATCTTAAGACGGAATCTTATATTCTACGGTCTCTTAAATAGTTAATATCCGTTTTATACAATTACATTACTCCTCCATTTCCTTGAAAGCATCAATGCCTAGTCTGTCTAGTCTTTGAATTTCAGTTGGCAACAATTCGTCGCTTTCCTACTATTAAAAATTCAGTTATGTTAAACGCATAACTTGGAAAATGTTTTAATGCGATTTCGACAATCACGTATGAATTACGTAATATTGATCGTGCTATTGAATTGGTGTACTTATCTTTTTGTTGATTTGGTTCCCTTTATAATACTGTTTCTGCGGTTAATGTTATGACAGGCGGTTCACAGTTCGTTGTCTATAAGAATCCATTTCTAAGTAATTTGAATAAATTACACTGGAAAATCACCAGAACTTCTTAGAACTGCGTAGATTACACTCTACGCAGTTTCTAACTTTAGTCACTCTCAACATTAAACACTAAAGCCTTCGGTCTTAAAAGGGATAGCAAGTTTCTAATTAAATGGAGATAATTAATAAATTGTAAACCAAAAATGTAAGTAAAATTAAAATAAAAAAAATTCTTGAGCTAATGTTGCGCACATAGAAGGAATTCTTGTGAAAAAAAACAGGGATGTGACTTTAAAGAAAACTGACTAAATGTAATCCCTTGGCAAAATGCCTACACTCTTTCACGAACTGCTCTCTGTTGAGAAGAAAATGGGATCTTCTAAAGTCGCACTTGCAAAGAATTAATTAATTTAAAAAAATATATTTCAGTATTGTGAGTTCCAAATATAACTTCGCCGAATATTAAATTAGTTAGTAAACTACGTTACAAAGCAAATAGAACTCGATTCATATTCGCTACTATATAAATTGTCAATTAATACGCCATCATGGAAAGAGCCTTAACTTTATCTAGTGCTTTCACTATTTAGTTACCTCAGCTGGAGGATCAGCATGTACCACGCAATTTAATTTTGCCTCGAGGCCCTCTCCTGAATTGACCCAAGAGCGTAGTACGCTAACTTCCGGAGGATCTGGAATAATAGATTTATGAAAATTAACCGTTGTTATTTTTGCAAGTATAATACGACCGCAATGTCGAGGGATGCTTTGGAACTTTTAAAATTTTATTTAATTATTGAATAAGCTTATAAAGACCGCCTTGTCACAAAATTAAAAAATGAGAAGCTTGAGTAATCATACTAAACAAAACAAACGAACCACAACTAACCACCCTCCAAAAGGTCGACTGCCCTAATAATTCCTTCTCTGGGGAAGCGAAGTTGCGCTCTTAACAATAATAAAATTATGGACTAAAAATTTTTTTTTATTTCATGCTAATAAAGATGGATTCAGAAAAATTTACTGGCAGAGCATAGCAACTATGAACAATTTATGCCGCAGTGAAATTATCGCGAAACAAATACCAATAGATTAGCAGTAATGTATTTTCCAAGTTTTAAATTTAATTTTCAGTTCAACCTACGGTGAACACGGAATCGTTTTGATGTAGAGTCGCAATCATTATCTGATCCGCACCCTTCTCTTGCTTTGGCGATGAAAGTGACAAAAACTAGTGGACCGCTGTACGTGACGAAAATGTTCCTACTGCGAATTAAAAACTTGGTATTGTACGGGACAAATCAAAAGGAAAGTTATCGGAGTCAGTTTCGTTCTATTTTCTTGAAAGTTTTTTTAGGTGTTCTTCAAAAATAGCAGCGTTTGCTCTAAAACAGAATTATATGCTAATTCTAAATGTATTCACCCAGAGTTCATTTCTTATTTACCAGTGACCCGGCCGCAGAGATCTTGTCCAGTGTACATAAGGGGCCCATACCCTATCTCGAAACCTACAGTAATAAAAAATAAAAAGAAAAAAGCTTTTTCAATTAAATTTATATAGTTGGACCTTTATCAACCTTAAATTTGGGAAATAAAAATAAATGTGTCAAATGTTTGATGGCACTAAGTTGTAGCTGCGTCTATGTCTTTCGATATCAGTATCTTCCATCTTGCCCTGGGATTAAGGCAGATGGTAGGTCTATATAATACTGTGGGGAAATAATATGCACTTTTGAGAAAGCACGCACTAGATCAAAAGAAGTTCAACAGAACAAACTAAAATAACATTTCATCCAACTTTCAAACAAAAATGTCAATTAGAAAAATAACAAAAAATAGTAAGTATATAATGTGACAACACAAGACTGCTATTTTCTTTCTTTTCGAATCATGGAACTGAATAGATAAAAATATTTTAAACTGATTTACGACTGCTGTGTTATTACTGAAATAAAAATTTCAATAAATTCTGGCTTCGGCTCTACGATCACTTTTAACAGTGGTCTGTTTGCTACGGTTTATTGCAAGTGCAAGTGCTTTAACCACTGCGTAACTTTCATCTCACACAAAATTTAGTAACTTTACATTTGATACTTATTTAATTACATCCCAGGTTTGTTTATTCGGGAGTCAAGTAAACGAGACAAAGAGACTGCGGGTAAACCGTCCCTAAACAATCGAGAATAATTAACGTTTCATTGACAAATTGGGACCTCTCAAATGTCTATTAAATTAGACATTGATAAAATTTTTAACGCATCCTTTCGTCTCTTTAAATAAACTGTAATTGTTCTTAAAAGTGGAGTTTACTTACATAAAACATGAAGCTTGACTTCTCCAGTAACTGGTTGCCCGATTCCGTTGGACGCCGTACATAAGTATATTCCGGCATCTTGTCTCTGCACTTCGTTTATGTTGAGCATGTGACCAGTTTCGACCTGCAGCCCCGACGGAAGTAAACCATCCTGCAACAGTTGCAATAATTTGCGGAAAATGTTGTTAAAGGATTAATTTTCTACTTTTTACTTTATATTCGCGCAAAACCATCCAATAAAGGAGGTTGTACTGGAATAATTTAGGAATAAAATATAAGAAGTACATTTATTTTCCACGAAAAATAAAAAAAAGTTTGTGTCAAGAACCCAAGATAAATTGTATACAAAAATTAATTAAATTAAATTTATTTTCTTAGTAGGCCAATATTCAATCAAAATCAATAAATAGATAACCTTAACCACTCTGACAAAATATTCTAAACATCCATCTTGTTAGATGATAATTTTTGGCCATTTCTATAAATATTCTGACACCGCCATTATATGAAAAGCATTTCCGTTCTGCTTTTGCGAAGTAGAATTTTACAGCAGATCGTAAAAAACAATTTAATTAAACTTTTCATGCAAGTTTTTTCCTGGGCAAATAAAAGTATGCAAATAAACCTCCCATTCCATTTCGTTTTATTTTTCGGCGGTCGTAAAATGAAATCATTCAAAATTACTGCAATCGACAATACACCGGTATGCATATTGCTCTGTGACGGTTCTGTCAACATCGATTATTAAAAGAATGTAACTCCAATAACCAATTCAATTATTTTATAGCAAAAAAAAATTTGAATTTTTATTTCAAGTATATATTAGGCATAACATTGTCATACATTAAGCCATACAATTTTTCAACACAACTTGTGTGTATTTTGGCTTCGTTATAGTAATAAAGTGAAACCTACTCAATAAAATGTGTCCTTTATTTCTTATACGAAACATCTCCTTGTTTTGTTTGTTTTCGTTTCATAATAAATAATTAATATCAATCATTTGGCAGAAAAGAAACTTCATTTCCGTGAGAAACACAATGAAAGATATAGTATTGGTTAAATACGACCAGAGTGGTATATTTAGTTTTGAAGCTACTAAAATTAAATTAGCAGAGGTGGACCTGGATTGAGGAAAACCAAATTCCTTTATTTTACTAGTTCCCTAGCACATTCATTCTAAACTTCAAAACCAATTTATACCATAAATTGTAATGTTTATAAAGTGTTTTTCGGGAACTCACTTACCTTGTCTACAAGGTGTTTCAACTGCTACTACTAACATTAAAATTTCGATTTAAATGTTCTGTATTTTTGTGCATTTTTAGATTCTTTACCCCGTTTAAAAGTTAGCCATACAATCACATTGCAAAAATATCCGCCCTGTATACCGAAACAATATTCAATCAAACTCCGAAGTCAAAGGTCCCAAAAATAATTATTTATTATTTATTTATTTATTAAAAATGTACACGTGTTTCGCTCACACGGGCATCATCAGACATATAAAAACGTCAAGTCAAACGCACATAGGGACAAATTGGAATTTGTGAAGCACCTGTAACTTTTTATAAATAATTAATTTTGATACATTTGACTAGGAAGTTTGATTTAATCTTTATAGTTTTGTGGAATTCTTACTCTGGTACACCTTGGATTTGATAGCGTTAACAGTATTACGGTGCTCGAAAATTTAACCAACCTTTTTTGACCATTGAACTGTCGGTGTTGGGTTTCCGTTGGCTTTACATTCAAAGAAGACTGGTCCACCCTTGCGAGTGACAACTTGTCCACTGGGCGGAACAATTTGTATACTTGGAGGCACTGAAAGTAAAAATGATAAATTTAGAAAACTTTATTTAATTTGTAGACGAAAATATAGGGTTTTTCAAAATTCATGCCATTTTAGAGACATATTTTTAAAGCAACAATAGGGAAAAATGAGTTGTGATAATATATTCGTTTTAACTTTTTCATTTTAAAATGGAAACTGAACCATATTCGTTTCAACTTCTGGTGGTTCACAGCCTGGCTGCGCATTTTTAATCAATTCTTTTAATAAAAACTTATTGCATTTTTCTAAGCAATTATTAACTAACAATACCGCACGTATGTCTTGCAAACGGTTATACATTGAACATCGTATGGAATTTTACGATTCAGTTATTTAAATTAATGCACCGTCCCGTCCCGTCTGACTAAAACTGAATGATCTAAATAGGCCTATTGATATAAATTTGAATATGCGAGGCACTCGCTGTAATAAAATCTTCAACGAGCTCCACTTATATTTTGCGTCTGGTTTGCCCGAGCCTTTTTGATATGAGTGCCGTACAGAAATTTAATTAAACTGTTAGCGACAGGTAGTAAAACGCGTTTACAGACAGATTGCTGCAGCCCGTGAAAGTTCCGATCACAACCCAGAAACGAATTAGTGCGGAAAAAGTTTTTCACGTCCAAAGTTTTAAACTATCGCGCACGTATCTGTTGATTGTTATAATAGTCTACTCTAACCAAACTATACCGGCTGATCAATAACCTTGTTACTCAGCAGAATTTGAGATAAATTTCCAGACCATACTTATAACGTGTGTTTCAAATTCGACTCTCGCCATTACGGTCTCGGTAACGGTAAGAGATACAGGGTGACTTAAATTAATTAATTAAAATATGGCGGAAAAATCTGAAACTTTTTATTTTATATTTTTTTAATGTCTTTATCTTACGACTTAGCAAAAACCTGTAAACAACATCTTATTGGACCTTTTTAGGTTTCATATTATGCCCAGATCACAAATCCCTTACAACGTTTCGTTTTTCTCAAATCATCTTCAACTTTATTTTTTCTTATAGTTGTATTGTCACATTTGTTTTGATCTATCACAAGTTGTATTTGTGTTCTCTCAAATTTAAAATATTGAACAAGAACTTTTATACCATAGTATACTATGAATTTTCAAATATGTACATGAAATTTTAAAATCTAGTGCATTACTGTGTCGTTAAAAGTGGACTTTACCATTGAAGAAAAACGAGATATGGTAAAACTTTATTATAAAAATGTTAAAAACAGTGTCAAGACATCGAGAATGTATTTGAAAGACGACAACCTCGTCGAACTTTAGTTAAATTATTTAATAGGAATCTCGATGAGTTTGATTAGCTTGAAAAACTAGGATAATATTATGAATGTACCTTCAGCTCGTAAATTCTATTTTTAAGGGTACCCCATAAAAATGTGTCGAGGAAATTGAGATCTGGAGACCCGGCTGGCAATCTCACTGGTCCATTATTTCCGATCCGAACCTTGTTTAAAGATGATCAGATACTTGTATTGAGGTACCAATAGAATCGAGGATCAAAAGTAAATCATCCAAATAGTATTCAAACGTTGACCTCAAAAACTGATATTTTGTCTTTACCAGTACCTACCCAAACATTAAAACTAAATCGAATTTGCGGTCGAATTTCTCGAAATCGCCTAGGGCTGTTAATGCTTAAGATATATTCATTGTTTGGATCAAACATTCCACAAGTGCTTTCATCTATCGAAATCACTTCTTTGTAGCCAATTACAAAATTGAAATCGCCTTTCGGGATCACCTGGATATAATTTTTGAGAGATATTAATTTTGTAGCATTTGAAACCACTTCTTTTTAGGTGTCTCCAAGCACTCGTATGAGCAGAAGCACCAACATCAGAGTAAACTTGGCGCGTGAATTTTCCCGGGTTCATATTTATCTGGATTCCTACCCAATAATTTAAACAAAGTTCGAAGAGGTTGTCGTCTTTCAAGATACATGTTCAAATATATTTCAGATGTCTTGATACCGTTTCCATCGTTTTTAAAATAAAGTTTTACCGTATCTCGTTTTTCTTCATTGGTAAAATCCATTGCATTGGATAAAACTAAAAACCAGAACACTTTTCCCACATCGATTTGGGCACCTCCATAACATGGTTTGTAAAAAATCGTTGCCCACGTAATTTATCCTTAACGTATGGCAATAAATAGAAATCATTAGGTGCTAAATCAGGACTGTGTGGTGGATGGCTCATCAAATCAACGTTTTTAATGCTCAAAAAGTTCTTTGTTTGCACTGATCGGTGAGAGCTAGTAGCATTGTCGTCGTGATTCGTCTTCGGCGGTTGGTTTTTCTAATTGCTTCGAAGATTTTCGGCAAACAAATGGTTGGGTACCATTCAGAACTGACTGTTTTACCTTTCACCAAAGAAACAGTTGCAACCTGACCAGTTTTCTTGAACAAACAGTTTGCCATTTGTGTCGAAGTGCTTCGCGCACGAACAACTTTTGTAGGCTTTGTCTCATTCTGAAAGACCCACACAGCCGACTGCTGCTTAATTTCAGGTTCATATGTTTAGATCCATGATTCATCGCCTGTCACGATATCATAGACGTGTTTGGAAGCACCGCGATCCTATTTTTTTAGCATTTCCTTCGACTAATCAACACGAGCCTTTTTTGAGCTGATGTAAAATTGTGTAGAATCGAACGCGAACAAATTTTTTTAGTTGCCAAATGTTCATGCAAAATTGTATGTATGCTGATCCCACTAATACCCAAAGATACCTCAATCTCATGGTAAGTCGCATGACGATTCTGCAAAATCAGTTTCCGCACTGCATCAACGTTTTCTTGGCCAACCACCGATTTTGGACGACCTTCACGAAAATCATCCTTAAGAAAACTACGATCACGACTGAAGTCCGAAAAGCAGAGATAAACAGTAATCCTAGATGGCGCTTTAACTTCAAAACTCGAATCAAGTTCATCGAAGCATTGTTGTTGAGTAAGTTCATGATTGAAGTTGTAAAAAATTATTGCACGAAAATGCTCCCGATAAGAGTTCCATTTTTAACCGTCACATTTTTTAAAATTTATCACAAAAAAGAACAAACAACATTCTCTCGGAACCTAAAACGAACCTCAAAATCTCAAACTTCCCCACAAAAACGTTAGTCGCCAGATGGCTAGTTTAAGAAAATCCCGAATTATAAAAGGAAGCCTTCGTATAAACGTTTTTGTTCAATTTTGAATTTGAGAAAATTCAAATACAATTTGTGATACATCAATAAAATGCAATAATACGGGCTATTTAATACTGAAAAAATGCAATGCGGCGACAAATAGAAACAATAAAGATGATGGTGGTTTGAGTAAAACGAAATGTCGTAAGGGATTTTTGACCTAGCCATAAGAGGAAGCCTAAAAAGTTCCAATGAGAATGTATTTTCAATTTTTGCTGAGTTTTAAAATAAATACATAAAAAAATTTAAAAAGAAAACCGGAAGTTTCATATTTTCCGACATATTTCGTAAAGTAACAAAATAATTTAAATTTAAAAACGGAACATTACTGAGCTCACCGATGCGCAACTTTGCCCTAATTTAAGTCACCCTGTTATACTGTGTATAATGTTACGATAACCTAAAAGGTCTTTCTGCGGATAAGTGTTGCTGGTCCTAAAGCTCTTTTAACACCAATCAGATGCAAGTTGATATGCACACAGGGGACGCACAAAAAACTTATCGGGTGTCCTACTAAGGACGACGAGGTTCGGTATTGCGAGAAAGGACTTAAAGCGTATATTTGTAATTTTTGCGTATAAAAGGTAAAGGGCACGAGATGTTTGAACAAATTTGGATAACTCAACACATTTAATAGAGTTGAAGTCACTAAAAAGGAATTTTTGTAATAAATTTGAAAAAAATACTTCACTAAGAAGAACCAACGGTACTAGCTACTCTTCGTGAATGTTCCAAGAATTTCCGACATTCCATCTCACTCTTGAGCCACTTGGCAATAGCTGTAGTGTGATAGCCCGGAATTAAATACTGGGTTGAGATTTCGGGGCAATAAGTCAGCGTTATGGTTTGTGCATATCGTTGAAAAAGGATTAAACCCCAATTACCATAAGGTCAAAAAATGTACACAGTAGTATTTAAAATTTGAAGAAAGATTTGTTTATTTCGCAGGAATTTTTAAATATCTTCAAAATTGTAGAAAAATTCCGTGGACACCCTGAAAATTAACAGAGAGGATAATTATTTTAATTTAACACAAATTGATGATAACTGCGAAAAATAATTCTATATCTCGGCCATTCGTTCCAATACGCTACAACTAACTTAAAAGTGACTTTTCTGGTATGGCTTAATAATGTTAACACTCACTTCACACTTATTAATGCTACTAAAAACTTTTTATATCCCATCAAAAAATATATCAACATAGTCATAGGGTTCCCATAACCCTAAAATAATATGGCGAAGCCCTTGATCGCTTGTTTATCTTCAAGCTTTATACCCTAAAATTCGGATTCCTAATTTCTTGTTTGTAGACTATAAATCGTGGTTTTATTGTTTTATTTTAAAAAAATATATGTAAAATTTCAAAAACATGTTTTGACGATAGGAACCTGTAATGAAGCATAGATCCAAAATTAACCCCAACTATACCACCAAAATTTCCGATGTCACTAACCAAGTTAGCATCACCAGTACCAACGATATCGATTGAGAAGTAAAGTAGAACTATACTTTCTACCAAAGTTAGTTAGTTACTGATTAATAGGAATTAATAGTTAACCTGTTTAAGCACATTTTATTTTAGTTAGTTTAATGCCATAGTGGATTTTAATAAAAAACGTAATATCGACAAAGATTTAAAACCACTTTTTCCGACGTGTATTGGTGCTAACAAATCTCAAGATAACAATGGGTAATAAAAATAGAGTGAAAGGCGCTTACGTTATGGGCTATTAGATCGGATTCAGGTTTCACGCAAAATGCACGGCGCAGC